TCATTGACTCGCACTGGCACACACACACACACACACACACACACACACACACACACACACACACACACACACAAGAGGATGCTGCACGCTGCATTCGCATTTTGTCATCACGATGACACACAAATTGCAATGTCATCATTTACTGCCCACACACACACACACGCACGAACGCACGAACTCTCACGTACCCGCATCCTTGCACGCATGTGTATGATGGTTGTCGTTGTGTGCACAGCGACGGCACAATGACAGCGGGCGTGTGTGTGCCGCAAGTTGAGATCTTTTGCCCGGAGTATTATGCGCCCGTGTGCGGCTGCGACGGTGACACGTACAGCAACCCCTGCTTTGCCTTTAACGTCGGTGTCAGGCACCAGGGCCCATGCGGTGAGTTTCCTACGCTTTACTTTGCCTGCAAGCAACTTGCTCACTTGTTGCGAGCTGACATCGGTCGCTGTTGTGTTGTTCTGTGTATGCTCGAGCGCAAGTGCGTGCGCCCTCACGCATTCTCATGTGAACTGCGCTCATCCTTTCATGCGTGCGTGTGTGTCTCATCAAACGTCTAGAAGACGATGAGGAAGACGACGATGACGACTATGACTACTATGATGACTACTATGACGACTACAAAGTCGACGACGACCACTATGAGGACGAGAGCACGTCTTCGCCCACGACGTCTTCTGCGCCATCGACCGCGACCACCGCCACCACACGCCCGGCCATCCCGCGTGACTGTGTCCGCTGGTACGACGGATGCAACACGTGCATGGTCGAGGATGGCAAGATCACCGGTACGCAGCACTGGCAAATGGTGGTGGTGGTGGTGGTGGTGGTGCATTGCGTTGCGTTGAGCCGTGTTTCGTTGTGGATTGAACGTTTCAAAATAACGATGGGGCATGATGATCGCGATGTGACTGCTCACCGCCTGTGTTGTGCCATTTGATCAAATGCTGTGATCGTGTGGTGTTGCGTCAGGGTGCACGGAGATTGCGTGCTTCCGCCATGAGGAGCCGCGCTGTCTTGAGTTTTCGCCGCCGCGCATCCCACACCGCTGCCTCACCTGGTTTGACGGCTGCAACACGTGCTCCGTTGCAGGCGGCAAGCCATACTGTAAGTCACATTCTCTGTGTGCGGGGAGAGAAAGGAAAAAACGCCGTCGGCGAAGTCTTGGACGGGTGTTTCTTTGTCCCGTGATCCCATCTCACACCTCTTGCGTTCCTTGTTGCCACCACGCCACCCCACCCCCTGCCTGTCCCTGTTCCTCTGCCAGTGTGCACGCTGCGCGCGTGTGCGGAGGACTCGATGGAAGAGCCACGGTGCCTGGAGATGCTGCCAGACTCGTGCGTCCGCTGGTTCGACGGCTGCAACGAGTGCACCATCAATGAGGACGGCCTCGGTGAGTGGCTGGTTATGTGTCATGCATGAATGCATGCCCTCTGTGTCTGTGTCTGTGTGTGGGTGTGTGGTCATGGTTGTGTGCATGTTTATGCACACACACACACACACCCAAGGTGCGCGTAGTTCGTGTGTCAACGCATGCCCTCACCCCCAACCACTCTTGGGCTCGCCATGTGCTTGTGTGTGACGTGCATGTTCACAGAGGCGTGCACGCGGCGGGCGTGTGGACCGGGTATCCTGCAGCAGCCGCGCTGTCTTGAGCACACGTGCAGCGACGTCCTGTGCGATCTCTACTGCGAGAACGGCTTCAAGCGCGACGAAAACGTGAGTCTTGTGTGTGTGTGTGTGTGTGTGTGTGTGTGTGTGTGTGTGTGTGTGCGTGTGTGTGCGTGTGTGCGCGCGCGCTTTGGCGTGCTGCGTGGTACATGTTTCTCAGACAGCATTGACACCACGAACCAACTTTGCATTTTTGACCGAACTTCATCTCACCCATGCATACACATACGACTGACCACTCTCGTCCTCGTCTTCCGTGTGCAGGGGTGTGAGATGTGTGAGTGCAAGGAGGAGCCGTGCCCTGTTCTCCGCTGCATGGGGCCCTGCGAATACGGCTACGCTGTGGATGAGGATGGCTGCGACACGTGCGAATGCAAGTGAGTCAGCACCAACCGCTTGTTCCGTGCTTGCATGGCGCGCCCGCCTATTTCTGCTATGTTCCCGTGTCGTGCACGCTACCCCTCACCCTTTTCTGTTTCGACTGTGCGTTTGCCGTTCGTTCGATCCTTTTGTCTCGCCGCACAGTCCCGCTCCGTCCAGCTCCCTGGTCGAACCGACATCCTCATCCTCGACTGAGACAACCACGTCGTCAACCACGTCGTCAACCACAACATCGTTCACCACTTCCATGCCATCCTCATCGACAGTCGAGACAACCACGACCTCCACCACCTCCGATTCGTGTGGCGACGTGACGTGCCCGCCACCCCCGCCCTGCCCCGCACCGCCACAGGGATGCCGCTACGAGGTGCTCGCACGTGTGTGTGTGTCTGTCTGTCTGTCTGTCTGTCTGTCTGTCTTTGTGTGTGTGTGTGTGTGTGTGTGTGTGTGTGTCTACCTGTGTGTCTATGCTTGTGGTTTTGTCTGTCTGCCTGTGTACCGTGCATCATGAACTGTGTTGTCATCAGTCAGTCTTGCTTCAACCTCCTCACGTCTTCCTCATCCTTCACCGCCACCACCCCTTTCCGTTTCCCCCACAACCGCTGCCAGTTTGATTACAAGTGCGGCTGCATCGTTGGCTGTGGCAATCTCAAATGCAAGTCGGCTGGAGAGGGCGAGCGCTGTGTCGCTGACGGCGATGTGGGCCCAACGTGTGACGCCGGCCTTGTGTGCCTCCACGGCACGTGCCAGGTGGACGTGTGCGCCAGTTACGACTGTCTTCCCACACACAAGTGCGTTCCGCAGAGGGTGGAGTGCATTACCGCCCCCTGCCCGCCCCAGCCGACGTGTGTTGCCAAGGAGCACTGCTTCGAACACCCGTGCACCTCGGATAAGGTGGGAGGAGGCTGATGGTGATGTAGCTGTGTGTGTCTGTCTGTCTGTCTATGTCTTTGTCTATGTCTGTGTGTGTCTGTCTATGTCTGTGTTTGTGTATCTGTGTCTGTACCTGTGTGTGTCTGTGTGCCATTGTGTGCTCATTGTACGTTAGCGGCTTTATTCGCTCACTGTGTGACTCACCAATACACTGCGTTGCATCATGGCAGGTTTGCGTCGACCTTCGCATCGCGTGCATCACCACACCCTGCATTCAATATGAATGCGTCAGCAAGAACGTGTGCCAGCCCAACCCCTGCCCCCACGGCGTGAGTATGCGGCTGTGTGTGTGTGTGTGTGTGTGTGTGTGTTTCTGTCTGTCTGTCTGTGTGTTGGTACACCTGTCTGTACGTCTGTCCGTCCAGCCATCTGTCCATCAGTTCCCTGTCTCGCTACGAGTTTCGTCCACATGTGCACATATCCACCTCTCCATAGCTTTTTTTTTCTTCTCACCCTCATGTGCTCCCCCCCCCCCCTCTTCTCCTCCACAGCACGAGTGCGTGCCATCGCCAGCAGACTGTGCGGACTGCAAGCCGTATTTGTGCATGGAACAGCACGACACACAACCGACGACGCCCGATGCTCTGCCGGGAACACCCGCCTCCACTTCTTCGTCTTCACCACAGACCGGTTCATCTTCCTCTTCGTCGTCACCATCTTCTTCTTCTTCTTCGTCTCCATCATCTTCATCATCATCGGTCCCATCCTCCCCCTCCTCCTCCTCGGCGACCTCAACCTGGCCGTCATCATCATCGTCATCAACATCATCCTCGTCCACCACGGAGACGGAGCTGCCCGCACCTGCCGTGCTCATCATTGGCCGCATGTCCGTGACTGTTGACGGCAACACGCTCGACGTTGCTGTCCTGCGTCGCGAGTTCATCGCGCACATCGAGAGCACGACCGGTGTGCGTGCGCTGGACGTGAAGATTGAGATTGTTGGCCGTCGCCGCGCGTCCGCCGTGGAAGTCCGCTTCGTTGTCCAGCTCGCTTCCATCAACGACGTACGTCGCCACGCATGTCAAACACGCAAAACCATGCGTCTGTTTATCTGCGTGTGTGTGTGTGTGTGTGTCTGTCTGTCTGTCTGTCTGTCTGTCTATGTGTATTTGTGCGTGCGTGCGTGCGTGTGTGTTTATGTGTTTGTTTGTTTGTCTGTCTGTGTGCCTGTGTTTTAGCTTCTGTTTGTGCTTCTGTGGCTTGCCGTCCGTCGTATGAGGTTTCTTGTCACCTTCCCATGTTCTCACCCGACACCCCTCCGCATCAACCCCTCATTCTATATCAACCACAGGCTGACGCTGTTGAGAAGAGCATCAATACTGGCGATGTGTTCGTGTCGCTCAACTCCTCCTCCACCAACTTCTCCGCCTCTCGCGTACGTTGCGCCGCCGCACTCGTTATCACGTGCTGTCGAGTGCTGTCCAGTGCTAGCGAGTGGCATGGTGGTGTGTGGTATTTGATGTGGGGTCGTGTGGTGCTGTTGCTCCTGCGGCTCTGTGCATCTGCGCAGCAAGCGCCCTGCGTTGCTTCGCTCACGGATATGCAAACACACGCACGCGCGCGCATGCACACATGTCCCTGTTACAGATTGGCAGCACGTCGCGAGAGGTGCAGAGCGGCAGCAGCGGTGAGGACAACACGGCGAGCGCCACGACGTACATTGCCGTTGGTGCTGCCGTTGGCGTCGTGGCCGTCATTGCCATCGTCGCTGTCGCCGTCTCCCGACGCAAATCCGCCGCTGTGTACGTTCTTGTGCTCTGTGTGTGTGTGTGTGTGTGTGTGTGTGTGTGTGTGTGTGTGTGTGTGTGTGTGTGTCGTCGTGTGTGTGTGTGTCGTCGTGTGTGTGTGTGACATATGCACCTCGTCTGCAGTATGTGTGTCTGCTCTGTTAGCAATGCGAGTAGCGCTCGAATACCCTCACTGGGGACGTTTCGCCAGGCTTGCGGTACCGTCTCATACTCCCTCGGGGTGCATCCAGGCTGCATATATTCCTGAGTTTCGGTGGTTGGTATTAAGCTGCAGAAGCGGAACATTGTATGGTTGAGCTTGACTTGCAACATACCTGGCCTGATAAATGTCGAGGGCTTAAGGTGTGTGTGTGTGTGTGTGTGTGTGTGTGTGTGTGTCGTCTCGTGTGTGTGTGTCTCTGTGTGTGTGTGTGTGCTCTGTGTGTGTGTGTGTGTGTGCGTGTGTCTGTCTGTCTGTCTATGTGTGTGTGTGTGCTCTGTGTGTGTGTGTGTGTGTGTGCCCTGTGTGTCTGTCTGTCTGCCTGTCTGTCTGTCTGTCTGTGTTCGTCTTTTCTGCTTCGCTGTCTGCGTAATCGTTGGGTGCACTGCTTGTTCTGATATCGTCACCACGTGCTTTGGGTCCCTTGCAGCCGTGTGGACGCCCGTCCAGACCACATTGAGAACCCAATGTACATGGACCCCACACTCTGGTTCGTCGGTTGGCTTGCGTGTCTGTCTGTCTGTGTGCATGCTTGTTTGTCTGCTTGCGCTTCCTAGCTTCGCTATCAGCTGCTACAATGATCCATTCACACACACGCACTCACCCTCTCTCACATCCACATACTTAAACTGTATGAGCAGGAAGGCGGCCAGGCACGACGACGTGGATGTCTGAGATGACACTTTCCCTCTCCCCTTGTGCCCTCTCCCTTGTTGTTGCTCCATTCGTTCCGTTGTTGCGGTGGTTGATACAGGCGATGTCATCATGTGCGACCGTGGTCACACCGTGCCATGTCCTCGTCCCCACCGCATCCCGCGCTGCGTTGACCGTTGCACACTTGCCTTGTCTTGCATTGCCTTCTCATCGCTTGCCTTGCCTTGTTTGTTTCTTTATTTTTGTCTTCCACTGCTTGTTTGACCTAACTTGATCTACCCACCTCCAACTTGTACCTCCCCTCCCATTGATTGCTTGCTCTCTTATCGCGTTTGATTGCGTCGGTGACACACACACACATACCCTTGTGTCACATCACGTCTCTTTCCCTTGGTTTTAACTGTCTTCCTTCTTTGATCATCCTTGGTTGGTGGCTCCCATTGCTGCTACGTTGGTGCGCACTGCTGCACCTGCCACTGCTGCTGTTATGTTTGCATCCTTCCATTGTCGTTGTTGTTGTTGTTGTTGTTGCCGACAGCGCGATGAATGAATGAACGAATGGATGAGAGGAAGTGTCAGCCCACAGTCATTGTTGAAATAATTGCACGGGATAATCAGGGCAAGATGGAGAACGTGTGCACGCTGCTCACCACCAACATCCTCGATGTGCAGCAGCCCACGCTGCTCGCACAGTGTCGCGAATTCGGTGTGTGTGTGTGTCTGTGTCTGTGTCTGTGTCTGTGTCTGTGTCTGTGTCTGTGTCTGTGTCTGTGTCTGTGTCTGCTTGTGTCTCTCTCTGTCTCTCTGTCTCTGTCTCTCTGTCTATCTCTCTGTTTGTCTCTCTGTCTACCTGTGACTCTCTGTCTCATCCATCATCCACCCATCCACACATCATCCACTTACCCTCCACCAACGAATCGCCAAATCTCCCCTTGGCACTCGACACCCCCCCCCAACATGAACGCAGGCACTGACAAGGTTGCTGTCGCGGTGGAGAAGTGCCAGATGCTGCACAAGCGGGAAAAGTGGGATCGTTTGAAGACGACGGCGGAGCGCCTAGTGGCGACACTAAAGAGCACCAAGCAGGCGCTGCCGCGTGAGGGCGCATACTGGCCCCGCGCCATGAGCGTCGCTCTCGCCTACCAGGCCTTGGCTGCCGCCCACGCAGAAGACTGGCACCATGTCGCTCGCCACGCAGACACTGCGTTTGTGGTTGGCGGCCCACAGGAGTTTGTGGAGGTTGCAGAGCTCGCTGCAGCCCAACTCAGCACCGCCACAGAGGAGGGTCACAGTGGCACGACCACCGACACCACCACCGCCACTGATAACAGCAGCACGAGCATGCTTGACGTGCCGCCCCCGACAACAGCGCCGCTTGAGCAGCCCATCAAGCGCATCCCAGCGGCTGATCTCGAGCACCACCTCGCCACCGACCCAGATACGCCCGTGGTTGTGGAGGGCCTGCAGGCGGAGTGGCGCGCGCCATCGCGGTGGGCAGACGTCACATTCATGATGCGCAAGTATGGTGCACGCAGCGTGCCCCTTGAGTTTGGAATGTGGCCACACCTCACCGAGGACATGCTCACGCTGCGAGAGTTCTTTACACGCTACTTCTCGCAGCCTGCAACGAGCACGAGCAGTGGTGGAAATGGTGGAGAGGGTGACCAGAAGCCTGAGGTGGCGTATCTTGCACAACACAACCTGCTGGAGCAGATCCCGGCGCTGCAAGCGGACCTGGCAATACCTGACGTGTGCTCGACCCATGACCGCTCACTGCACGAGGCCAGCGTGTGGTGGGGCAGCAAGGGCACCGTCACGCCCATCCACTTTGACTCGTTCCCAAACCTCCTCGCACAGGTGGTCGGCTACAAGTACGTGCGGCTGTTCGCGCCCAGCGAATCAAGCAAGCTCTACCCTTTCACGTCGGGCAGCGGCGACGCCGGTGATGATAAGGGCAGCACCAACGCCGACAACAGCGACGGCGAAGACGACAGAAGCGCGCGTGCGTGTGAACAGGCTGTTGAAGGCGGCCGCTACGCCGGGCAGAGCAACATCTCCCGAGTTCCAGACCCGCGCAATGTCGACACAGATCGCTTTCCCGCCATGAAGGATGCCGCGTTTGTGGAGGCCGTGCTCGCACCCGGTGACACGCTCTACATGCCTCGGTCCCACTGGCACTTTGTCACCAGCCTGTCGCCATCCATGTCCGTCAACTTTTGGTGGAAGGAGGGCGGTGCGTGATGCATGGCATGTGTGTGTGTGTGTTTTGTGTGTGTGTGTGTGTGTGTGTGCGTGCGTGTGTGTGTGTGTGTGTGTGTGTGTTTTGTGTGTGTGTGTGTCCGTGAAATGGGGTGCGTGAAATGGAGAGAACGCTTGGCTGTTTTGCCGCATTGCCTGGCGTTGGCACATTTATGTGGAGCGGGTGGACGAGAGCACAATAACAACTCAGCCTTCATTCCGAAAACAGAGAACATGAACAGTGGGATGGTGATATTTCAGTATGATAGACTGAGAGGAGCAAACAAATGTCGAGCCGTGACAGGAGAGGGCCGTGCTGTGTGATGATCGGACAATTATTATTTAACTCACGCTTGCTGCGCTTCTATCTTTTCTGGCGCAGTCTTCCTTCTTAACATGCACGTGTATATGTGTGATGTTGTATCAGATGTGACACTTGTACATGCGTGCTATAATGTGAAGCTCCTCCTCGAACGCAGTGCTGGATTCCATTACATTTCTGCGAGTCGATTTTTTTTTTCACTTTGTCATTGCTGTACTGCAAATAGTGCTTGCATGCAAGCACTCGCCCAAGCTGCGCGTGGCCTCGTTTCCTATGCGTTGAAGCGCTCACGTGACGTGACACAAACACCAAACATCGCATCATGTGCATGTTTGAACTTAAGGAACTTACCGCACGCCGCCTACCAAAAAAAAAAAAAAAAAAAAAAAATACACGCTTGCTCCTTGGTGATGTTGTTATGTTAACACACTCTGTGGACGAACACACAGCAACTCCTTCGAGCAACAACCACTGTGCTCCAGCAACCAAGTGTATGACCACACCCACGCCCTGAAGCATGCCACGCATGAATTTCATGGTACCTCGCTCACGCTCCAAAAGAAGACGTTCTAACTTTGCAATCATCGTTGAAGCAAACAGAATGGGAGCCATTCCAACCCATGAAAGCAGCAAGCCACAAAGAAGCAGGAAACACCAGACAATCAGAGCAAGCAAGCAAGTAAAGGGAAGTATGTACGAAGCGGCCGCAATGCGTCATCCACCACCCCCCCCCAGCACAGAAGTAAAATACAAACATCAACTCACCTTTTGTTTCATAACCGTCTGCGTACACCCTCACGTCTATGCCTCTCCAACCCCAACATCCAACCCCAACCTACCACACACCCTTCACCCCTCTTGAAACACCTCTTCTCCTCCCATGCCTTACACCACGCCAAGGTCATCCTGGGGCAGCGTCTCCAGCCGCTGCCGCAACTTGCGAATCAGATCATCAGCACTTGTGCTCGGCGGCGACCCATCACCTCCACCTCGCTGCTGCTGCTGCTGCTGCTGCTGCTGCGAATACTGATGTGCAGGGCTGCCGTTGCGGCTGTTGTTGTTGCTGTCAGCGTCGTGATGGCGGCTGGGGTGGTGGTGTTGTTGGTAGTGCCTGCGGTTATCGGCATCAGCAGACCGACGCACGGGCGAGCCATGCGGAACAGCGCCCTTCAGCCCAATGCTATCGCCGTGCGTGCGGGAATGCTGACCACCGCCACCGCCACCCCGCTGCAGCACGGGCTCGTCCTTACGCGGGTCGTGCAGGCTGTCCTTTGCATCGCCATAACCATGCTGCCCCTCTTCGGGCTCATCACCCCCCTGCTGGTGCTGGTGCGGCTTCATGACGGACGATGCGTTGCTGTCCCTCTCATCCTCCTTCAGCTTCTTGCGCGTCCGTGCCAGCAAGTCCGCTGTCGCCGCCAGCACAGCCTCCACGTCCTGCGTGTCTGTCGACAGCGTGGAAATGTCCAGCTCCGACGCAGCCATCTCATGTGCAACCACACCGTGCGCGTGTGCTTCTCGCCGGTGCTGCGCCGCAGGATACGACGACACGCCGCCGTCATCCTCTCGTCGCTTGACGTTTGCTGGCGACTCATCATCGCCCCTGCCCGTGCCCGCTGCGCCCGTGTGATAGCGCAGCAGCGTCGACAGCACAGAGCGGCGGCCGTCGCGGTGCTCGGGCGGCGTGTGCGCGTGCTGTGATGACGCGTGTGCCTGCGGGAGCTGATACGAGGGCTGCCCATGCAGCGGCGACTGCGCATGGGAGGATGTGGCTGACGCGCGCTCACCGCTGCCGTACCCGTGTCCTCCCTGGCTGCTGCCAGTGCCCCACTCGTCCCGCCGCTGCCACTGTGACGCGGCAGTGCGTGCCACGTGTTGGTGATGCTGGAATGCCCCACCCGACACCGGCTGGCCGTACTCTGACCTCCTCTGCTGATGCTGCTGAGGCTGCTGGTGTTGATGCTGCTGTTGTTGATGATGCTGGTAGTGGTGGGATCTGTGGTGGTGTTCGCCGCTCGCCGTGCCAGGCGAAGAGGTTGAGCTTGTGTTGTCGCGTTGCAGCCAGCGCGAGCCGTACCCACCTCCCTGCTGCTGTTGTTGCTGCTGTCGCTGATGGTGATGGTGGTGATGTTCGCTTCCGGCATCTGAGATTTCCCCGCGACCGCCCTCTGTTGAAAAAACAGGCAGAGAGAAAAGGGAGGGAGAGACAGAGAGACAGAGAGAAAGAGGGGAGCAAGGGAGCAAGAGCAAGGAGTATGAGAAGAAGCAATAGAAGTGGAATTACGGGAGCACCGAGAAGTGGTTGAGGAGATGCTGCCACATTGTCAGGAGAACTGCTTCATGGACAAGAATGGCAGGGGTGCTTTGCTCATCACCACAGACAGACAGACAGACACATGCATGCGCGCACGCGCACACACCTGGGCTGCTGTGTTGGGACTTGAGGTCTGAGACGTGGTGCTGCAATCTCTTTGTGACGTCGCTCAACGCCGCCCGCACATTGGCGGCATCCTCCTTGGAATGCAACCTGGTAATGGGATAGGAGGTGGAGTGGTGGGAGCAAACCGGGGTGAGGCGAAGGTGAGTGTACAGCATGACGAACAATGGACACAGGAACTTTAGCTCCACACACGTACATACACGTCCCTTGCCCAGACACACACACACACACACACACACACACACACACACACACACACACACACACACACACACACAGCACCTTGCTTGGCGATACATGTTGAGCTCAGTCTCTCTGTCGTGGAGCCTTCGCTTGAGGGAGGCGATTTCCTGCGTCAGGCTGGCGTATGACGAATCAGCCTGGTCGCTCGCCTGTCGCATTGCACGCAACTCCTTCTCCTGTCGTTCCTCTTTGCTCTTTGCAAGCTCAAGCAGCTTGTCTTTTCTTCGCTCGCGCTCCTGGCTCAACTTCAGCTCTTTGTCAATGAGCGCAATGTCGCGTTGGTAACTCGCAATGTCAGACTGCGCCTTGTTCAGATCCGTCATCGACTGTGTGGTTTGTGGTGTGTGTGTGTGTACGTGAAGCGGGTGTGAATGAGTTTGAAAGAGCAAGCGCGAGATGCATAAGTGGTGTTTCATCAATGATGCTTCGATAAATCGCCAAACAGACACGCTGCTGAAAGCCACACCATAATCTACTACATCCACTGGTTCTGAACCCTCTTGCCCCCACCCTATACATATGGAACACCACCACCATCGTGGTATCCTGCATCCACTGCACCTTGTTGATCTCCTTGCGTTGCCCCTCGATGGTGTTCTCAAGCTGCTCAATCCTGTAGTCCCGCCGGGATAGCTCCGTCTCCGCGTGCGAATGCTTCGCCTTTGCGCTCTCAAGTGCTCGCGACAGCTCCTGATACCGGTTGTCCAGCGCCTGCACACGGCAGCAGCAAACGACAAGCGGAGATGAAGGGCAGTTTGCGCGTGATAGTGTGTGGGCGAGTGAGGGGCTTGAAAGTGAATCAAGATCATATCAGCACACCTCTGCAAAGCACCAGACACACACACAGACACACAGAGACACAGAGACACACAGACGCACACACACACACATACTGCCCCGCCTATCCCAGCCACCGCCTGACCTCGCGGGCAGCCTCTGTGTTCTCGAGGCGTCTCTCCAGTGCCTCCTTCTCTGCCTGCAGCACTTCACACCGCGCCTGCACTCGCTCGAGCTCATCCCGCGTCGCCGTGTCCGCCTCCCGCATCGCTCTGGATACCCGTTTGTGTGTGTGTATGTATGTACGTATGTATGTGTGTGTGTATGTATGTATGTATGTATGTATGTATGTATGTATGTATGTATGTATGTATGTATGTATGTATGTATGTATGTATGTATGTATGTATGTATGTATGTATGTATGCATGTATGTATGTATGCATGTATGTATGTATGTATGTATGTATGTATGTATGTATGTATGTATGTATGTATGTATGTATGTATGTATGAATGAATGAATGAATGTATGTGTGTACATATACGTGTGTGTGTGTGTGTGGTGTGAGGGCGACGATACCGGCATAAACAGGTGAAAAGGGCATGTGCACAAAGCCACGGCTTCACGCGTACACAAAGGGCGCAGAAATAGTTTGCGCGCGGGCCAAGCAAGAAAGGGCGACGCGCGTGAGCGCTGGCTCACCGCATGGCGTCCTGGAGTTCTGTGATGAGCGCCGAGGACGTGTTGGACCGCTCCGTTACGGCCTCAAGCTCCCGGCTCGCATTCTCCCAGCGGGTCGTCATCTGCCCACACACACACACACACACACACAGAGGTACACAGGCGTAAATACAGGCGTAAAGACAGCGACCAACACCCGCACACTCACACACACACACACACACACACACACAGACAGATACACAGGCGTAAAGACACCCGCGCACATGTACACGCATGTGCACAAACAAAGATGCAAACATGAGAGGGCATCGAGCACACGAGCAAGGTCGCGACAGCAAATGGAGTAGTTGCAATAGGGAAGCATACGCACCGCGTGGAGCTTGTCTTCCGTCTCAATGAGCTGTTGGCGGAGGTCCTCCTGCTTCGACTGCCCTTCTTCCAACTGCGCAGCCAGCGCTTGCGCCTGTCAAACAACGGCAGCAAAAGTGGCATGTGCAAGTGTGAGGGAGTGCCGTTGCTAGCGCATCTCACGTGCTTACAACAACAACAACAACAACATAAACAACTTAAACAATAACAAACAACAACAAACAACAAACAACAACAACAACAACAACAACAACAACAAACAACAACAACAACAACAACAACAACAACAACAACAACAACAACAACAACAACAACAACAACAACAACAACAACAACAACAAGATCATCATGGAACAAACCCGTTGGTGGAGATTGGCATTGTCTCGCTCGAGCGAGCCCACTTGAGCGCGCATTTGCGCGTTGATCTCCTCCAAGTGCTTGATGTGTTGCTTGTCAACAAGCTGCATGTATGGATGCGCGAGCGCGTGTGCAGTTGCATTAGTACATGTGTGTCAATCGAGTGTGCGCGAGGTAGCAAGAAGGGACAACAAAGGAAGAGTGAGCTTGAACCCAAGCGAGTTGCCTCACTCGATCACAGCACGTATCCGCACGCACACATATGCGCGCACGCACACCCTTTCCAATCCCGCACAATCCCGCGTGCGCCATCCACACGCTCATTCCAGCACTCACCCAAGCTTCCAGTTGTTTGCTGTGGCTGGCGGACATTTCATTCAACTCTGCATCCCTGGCCTGAAGCTCAGACATTAAGCTTTGTATCTCCGCCTTGTGTTGGGCTGCAACAACAGCATCGGCAGTAGCAACAACAGCAGCAACATCCAACGTTGTTGTTAGCAAGCCGAATAGGAAGCGCAAGAGTGTTTGCATGCGCCTACAATGCGCAAGTGTTGGTGTGTGAATGCTTGTGCATGCTTGTGTATTGGGTGTGTTGAAAGGGCACATGAACAACAACAACCAGACGCAGCCACGCAGCCATGGAGCCATGGAATGGGTGCACTCACCAAAGAGCCCAGATTCTCGACCATGGCGCGCAGAGTCGGTCAACGGTTTGTACTGTGGGAGTGTACGTGTGTATGCATGTGCGTGCGTGCACGCGCGCGTTTCGTGTACATGTGTGCATGTGTGTGTACGTGAGTGTGCGTGGGATTGTGGCGGGATGTTAGTGAAAGGACGGCGGCAGGCGTTGGCCCATGCGTTGGCCTGGGCACACCGCTCGATCCCGTGTTCCCACGAGCACAAGAGTCCACCACACACACACAAGCAACAAGGTCGCACAATGTGCAGGCAGCCAGCACTCACGAACCTGCGCCATGGTGGCGGGCTGGTGGTGTGCTCTTCACACGCTGTGTCGAATCAAGCAAACAGGGAGGTCAGCAGCAAAGCAGGTGAGCAAGGGTGGCAAGGACGGGTGAGGGTGGAACAACACTCCGCGGGGGTGTGCGGCTTCGGTACTTCTTCCAACACCACAAACCACAACACAACTCATCCACGACCGTTACAGATGATGTGACAATGACATGAGTGCTCCCAAGCAAGCAAACAAGCACACTACGAGCAAGCAAGCCCGCTGACCTGCTGCTCTGTGAACCAAGAGCGATGATGTTTGTCAGCGAGCGAGGCTGGACACTCACTCCCCCACTGTCATGAGACGAGCTCACACCTCCTCTCACTTGTTCGCTTCTTGTTTTGGTGCGCAGGTGAGAAAATTCGTTGTGAAAGATTTCAAATTTCCCGCAAACACCACAACAAAACCGCTGTGTGTGTGTGTGTGTGTGTGTGTGTGTGTGTGTGTGTGTGTGTGTGTGTGTGTGTGTGTGTGTTGTTGTGTGTGTGTGCGTGTGTGTCTGTGTGCGTGTGTGTCTGTGCGTGTGTGTCTGTGTGCGTGTGTGTCTGTGTGTGTGTGAAAATCCTTGTGCGCACACATCAGCTTGTGCACGCGCCCAGCCACGCACCGCCTTCATCATCCCTCTTCACCCATTGACACGCAAAGTACAATGCTTCTTCCCACTCTCTTTGGTCACATGGTCAACGAAGTGTTGTAAATTGCGAAACATCAACGGGGTCAAACAACGAACAATCCAGCAGCAGAAGCAATGTAACAAGGGGGGGGGGCTAACCTCTAAGAAAACCAGCCACAACAACGCACACAGCAACGCAAACACAACATCACCATCACGAAGCCGCTTGCTTGCCTTCATCACCATCGTCACCATCACCTTCACCACTGTCTTTGTGACCTGGCGCCGAGTGTGTGGATGACGAGGAGCGCGTGAGCTGCGCCACCTTCTTTGCGTACGCACGATCTCTGTCCTGCTCCGTCGCCCTGGACGCCGTGTTGGCTGCTGTGGATGTTGCTGCCGTTGTCGTCTTCACTGCAGTTGTGGTTGCAACATCATTATTATCATGACCACCACCACCATCACCACCACCACCACCATCACCACCGCGCTTACTTGCCTCGCTCGTCCCATGACTGCCAGCTGTTCCGCTGCTCTTCACCCGACCCCCACTACCACCACCATGTTGCTGCCGTTGCTGTTGTTGCTTGAGCGATCGCTGTCGTGCTCTCTCCTCAAGGCGTTCGTGCAAGCGGGCAAGACGCGGCACGCGCGGTGCACCAAGTAGGGCCTCCATCACTTCCGACCACTTGAGCGAGATGTACGTCACATATGTGTTGAAGTGCACACGACGAAGGGTCTCCCGGTCGTACCCAAGCCCAAGCCCAGAGCGCACCGTCTGCGTGAGCTGCTTCACGGTTGAGCTTTGCCACAAGGACGCAAAGAAGCCGCCGCGCTGCGATACAGACCCAGACCGTGATGCCGTTGTCGTTGTCGCTGTTGTTGTTGTTGTCGTCGTCGTCTTTCCTGATGGCCGTCGGGACGATGACGACGACGATGATGTTGGTCGACGCAGCTTCTGCTGGTCCTCCTCAGCCACTGCAATTGCCATCTCCACATACCCGGCAGCCTGGAAGTATGGATGTGCATATGCGGGGGTTGTGGGCGTGGTTGGATATGTGCGAGTTTGTGAGGGTGTGAATGCGTGTGAGCGTACGGTAAAATAGCGTTCTGTAGTCCAATGCCAGCACAACACTTGACACACACACACGCACGCACGCACACACACACACACACACACACACACACACACACACACACACACACACACACACACACACACGACAGAGCACACCGCACACACACGACAGAGCACACCGCACACACACGACAGAGCACACCGCACACAAACACACACACACACACACACACACACACACACACACACACACACACACACACACACACACGACAGAGCACACCGCACCCCTGTTGGGGCCTTGATGTTGAAGAAGACGAGGTCGTCCTGGTTTCTGCTGATCCACGAGTACGCGCCGCCCTTCCGCCGGTCGCCTGCCCATGACAGTGACCATGATGATGATGATGATGATGGCGATGGATGGATGGATGGATGGATGGGTGGGTGGATGGATGGTTGTGACATGGTGGCGAGGGTGATGGTGGTAACGAGGGAGGATGGAGATGGTGGTGTTGGAGATCAGGGTTGACGACTAGAAAGAGGGACAAATTAGCACGCATACACACACCACCTACAGCACTCAACACTCAACACACACGCCACCGCAGCTGCTGCGTGCAAACTCACGTGCGTGGGACATGTACTCTGCAACGAGACCGTTGGACGGAGACGCGGTGGAGTGGGCGATGCTTCCCGTGAACAGAATTGTCTCAAACTAGCGTGTGTATGCGTGCATGTGAGTGAGTGCATGTGTGTGTGTGTGTCAAGGTGTACAGGGAGGGAATGTATGAGTCGGGAAGAATGAAACATTCAACTGCTATTGACTCACAGGGATTGAGAGCTATGATCTCACGTTTGCACGCTCACACACACACACACACATACACGCACACACGCACACACTCACATACACTGTTTCGCAGACGTACGTCGCCGATGCGTGCGGTGAGCTCGAGCGTGAATGTTTGCGAGGGGTGGACCTTGTACTTCTCGAAGAACGCATCAAAGTCGTCCACTGTGAAGAAGAGATCAGGGTAGGTGATGACATCTCCGCTTCCCTGTTGTGGTTACGCCAGCATGTACAGCCAAGGCAGGAATTAGTGGTGAGCACGTGGGCGCGTTGTTGGTGTGTTGGTCACAACAGGTAAACATGGCAGTTCATGGCGGAGGTGGGAAGAGGCAAAGGAAATGTTGGCACTCTGCAATACAAGCATCTCGTAGCATGGGGACCGAACGCACAGTCACACACACACACACACACACACACATACACACACACCCGCACACACATCTAACCTTGACATCCATGCTGCGATAGCTTGGGGATGCGTACACCTCCTTTGCACTCGACTGGACAGGCTGTGGTATCATGTGAACACAGCAGGCAGAGAGGTGGTGACAGGCAGAAAGAAGCAATGACACTTGCGTAACAAGACCCACAGGACATGCAAACACGTGACAACAGTACAACGGTCGCACAACATATTAAGCAAACCACACTAGCACATCCTCCTCATCGCCTTGAACACCCACACACCCCCACACACCCCCACCCCACACACACACACACACCCGAAGTGTTCGAGCTTCTGTTTCCTTGCACAGTGCTGTTGTCAGCTCAAAGGACACTGCTTGCATCAGCGTGTTCAGGCAGACGGTTTCCTTCCAGTTAATTTCACTGCAGCCACGCTGTGATGTACGGGGTGTATGTGCGAGCAACATTGTGCGTCAGTACTGTTGAGATCTGGCAGTGCCGCGCAGCAAGGACGCGCACAACCAGCTTTGTTTTCCAAACACCCAGACACACCCCTACACCCAGATAGACAGACAGGCAGACAGACACACACAACAATCGTCGCACCTTTGGAAGTGGGCGGGTTCCACCGCGCCTGTACACTTTCAGCTGGGCTTGATCCTTGTCTTTGCTCCCGGACAGTTCTGTGCAGCGTCAGGCACAGCACAGTAGCGTTCAAGAAAGTCCGCAGGCGGCATTGACATACACATTCGTACGCACATACACTTATTCAGACACACGCACACATACACACACACGCACGTACACACACACACACACACACACACACACACACACACACACACACACACACACACACACACACAGAGTCACGGCACGTCACAGGCAGCCAGAGCGCAAGCACAACGAATGACCAAGGTGCAGTGTATGAACAAACTTCATCACGCAATCACGGCTTGCTTCCTCTCCATCCTGTTCCGCTACCCACCCAAGTTCCGTGGAACGAAGAAGATGAGATCGTCCCCAGCCTCCGTCTCCACAAAGTGTTGCTGCAGCACATCTGCCCAGCGTCCTTCATCATCAACTGCAGCAGCCACAACAAGAACACAACAAGAACAGCACCGCATGCAGTGAGGGAGCCATGGCTCATTGTCGTCGTGGACGGAATTAGAAAACGCCACCTTGCCACAAATACACCCCCTGATACTTTCAGTTCGAAAGCAAAAGCTCGCATGACACGCCCCAGCTCCAATGCAAGCACAATCCACAATAGGCGACTGTCCAGCACCACATCACAACCACCAGCTCACCTCCCCACAAGTCGCGGATCGTCTGCAGCAGCTCCATCGCCGTTTGTTGTTGTTGTTGGTATTCTTTGAACCGACTGAAATCAGTATGTACGTGACAGCGACAATCTGCTGAAGAATTCAACCAAAATTCTACATCCGTGGCGCGAAGTTTCAACTCCCCTTCCTTCCTCGCGCGCCAGCTGCCACGACCTCGTGTGTTCACATCTCGTCTCTTAGTGTCTGATGACACCATGTCTGGCAGCATGAGCTCTGCGACATTCAGCGCAGTACGTACAAATACATGCAACCATGCTGTTGTGTTGCGTGTCCACTTCGCCAACACACCCACACCCATTCGCCTCCCCATTGCATCTCATTCAAACACAACACAACATGTTCCTTGCTTTCTGTCTGCTCTGTCCGTGTCGTTCCTTGAATAGTGTGCTGTTGCACATAAGCAGGCCTCCTCAAGGGTAAGCGGAAACAGCAGGTGTTCATGGTCTGTCGAGTACAAGCTGGATTGCATGATACACGTGTTCGTCCTGCCAGCAGAAGCAGACCAGCATCACTATCGTCGCCGCCACAGTGCAACCACCATCACAGTGCCGTTATCATTGCTCCTCTGCAACACAGCTGCTTGTGTGTGTGTATGTGTGTGCGCGTGTGCGTGTGTGTGTATGTGATGTTTGCATTAACCCCTGTGCTCACCCACACCATCTGACCAACCTCTTTCAACCACCACAACGCCGTTCTGTCGACGCCAGCAGGCTTCACGCAACAGCGTGGTACGTCAACCACCGACCACAGTCACCACAGACAGCAACAACCACCGCAACCACCAACCATCACCACAGTGCAATCACCACAACACGTGCTGTGATTTCGGCTTCCGCCACGCTGTTGCTCACACCCGCACCCACCTCATGTTCTCGTGCATAATACCCACCCCCCCCCGTCTTTTCTTTCCAGAGAGCCTTGAAGCGAACTGAAACCCGCGTGGCCTCCAAGGTTCTGCAATTGCGCATGCACTAGCACACATTGACACAGCACTGCCTTGCGATGCAGCAACCGAATCCCCCCACCCCCTCCCCGCCACAGACTGGTATCACCTCTTACCCCACCGTCACAACACCACCGTCATGCACAGGCGTCCATCATAACGGAGGCAGTCGCGCAGTTTGAGACCATTACGCAGTTGCAAGAAGTATGCGGGCAGCAGCAAGGCAGCAGCGGCAGCAGCAGCGGCAGTAGCAGCATGGGATACTACACGCTCTTTCTGCTGGAAAGATGGACCCTGGATGAATGCAGTTCAATGATTGATAGATTGCAACGCGTATTGGAAGAGAAGGAAGAGGGTGTGCGGGCCGCACAACAACAGCTTGCGGCTGCACAGGCGGAGCATGACGAGGTCTGGACGGCTCTTGCGCAGGCACAGGTGAAGTGGATGATGACGGAGGTGGAGAGGGTGAAACGCGATGCTGAGTGGGTGAAGGAGCAACAGCACAGGCAGCAGCGCATGAAGGACGCACATGACTTGGACTTGACACTTGAGCAATGCATCCGTGATAAAGACCGCGAGGCCTTTGAAGCGACAATGAACTTTGTTCTAACACTGCCTGACGACAAACAGGCGATTGCAGCGGCGAAAAGGGCGATGGAGGAGAAAAGGCAGGAGCTAAAGGACCTGCGCCAACAACGAGAGGACTTGGTCAGAGAGATACAGGAGCTACGGAAATGGAAAGAGGAGGAGAGGAAGAAGAGTGAGGAGGAGAGGCAGAAGGCAGAGGAGGAATGGCAGAAGGCAGAGGAGGAATGGCAGAAGGCAGAGGAGGAATGGCAGAAGGGAAGGAAGAGAAGGGAGGAGGAACGGAAGCAACGGCAACACAAAGGGTGGGTGCGCTCGTTGACGACATTGCTGCAGGCGGCAGGTGAGCCGCTGCCACACACCACAAGTGCCGAGCATCTGTGGACTGTGGTGTCACAGGTGGTGGACGACGCCCTGGCAACAGCGTGGGAGGCCGGCCTTGTGCCCGCCGCTGCTGGCCCGCCCCGACTGGCCACCATCACTTTATCTGCTCTCCAAGCTATCAAGAAGCGCGTTGCGGAGAAGAAGAGCAGCTCACGCGCCGCGATCAGAGACGGTATGCTGTCACCCACCTCTTTGTGTGATCGTGTGGATGCGGTGGTGAAGACGGCCCTGCTTGTCTCGGTTGTCTTGATGACACACGGGCATGTGTGCACCTGTTTGTGTGTGTGTGTGTGTGTGTGTGTGTGTGTGTGTGTGTGTGTGTGTGTGTGTGTGTGTGTGTGTGTGTGTGTGTGTGTGTGATGTTTTGCGTTGATGTCACACAGCGCACAACACGTTTGCTTGTATCGTCACTGTCACTGTCACTGCCACTGTCACTGCAATTATAGCTGCCTTTGCCATTGTGTCACAGTTACTGTCGTTGGCATTTGCATTGGTAGCCTCCACCACCATAGTCACGCATGCGACACATTCACGCTTGTTTTGACACTTCTCCGCCCCTCATGCGCGCTGATTGCACTGCTATGTGTGTGTGTGTGTGTGCAGAATTCTTCTTCATGACGCCACCAAGCAGCATCACCAAGCCCGAGAAGAACCCGTATCTCGTCTACTGGCCGGACAATGCCCAGTTCTTCACCGACATATGGCGAGAGCCACTCGCGAAACAGGTGCTGCAATGCAATGACATCCGTCGCCGCTGCGCTGTGTGTGCAGGCGGTGCTGGTGGAACAGTAGTGCTGTGCTCATTTCTGTGCGTGTGTGTGTGTATTTGTGTACGTGTATGTAGGTGCGTGCATGCGTCTGTGTGCTTGTGTATTTCTGTGCTTTTTTGTGTGCGCGCATGTGCTTGTGAGCGTGTGTGTGCATGTGCTTGTGTGTGTGCTTGTGTGTGCGTGTCATATGCTTGGTGTCATTATCATCACCACCCATCACTACACGACGTGCCGCCATATGTGCACTCCTTCCCATGCCTCTCACCAACCGCTCGTCCCGCACGCCTTTGTGTCAACACACTCGTGTGTATGTGTGTGTGTGTGCGTGTGTGCGTGTGTACATGCGTGCTTGTTATCGCGTTTCCAGTTTGAGCTGAAGGCTGATGACATCACGCCACAAGCAGTGATTGCAAAGATTCACGAAATACCAGTGCTGGAGGTGTCCAGCAGCCGTGGGCCCCGCCCCAGGGGGCGCCAAGTGACGCTTGGCCTGCGACAAGGTAAGGACGTGGCGAAGACTGGTGTTGCCTGTGTTTGCACTGCTTTCAGTTTTAGGTGCACGTGCAGACACGTGTACTTGGCCTTGGAGCGTTTGTCAACGTCGTCATCATCATGTGGTGTTTGGTCGTGTATTGCCGATGTGTGCGCAAGCGCACATGAGGGGTTGTGATGTGAGATGTGATTGTGACACCATCGTGCAATGCGTGCACGTTTGCATCTCACCCCTGCCAACACACACACACACACACACACACACACACACACACACACACACACACACACACACACACACACACACACACACACACACACACACACACACACACACACACACCGCGCGCTCGCAGGTTTGCCTTCACCAAAACTGCTGACAACAGGATGGGCCAACGAAGCGGAGATGCGCCCCGATATCGCTCAGCACCTTAACGGCATGGCTTTGCGCCTCGGAGCCTGGGTCACGTTCAATAGTGCGGTCCCAATCATGAAGTACGTTGTGCGGTGCACCTTGTGCTCAGTGGTTGAAGGGGTGGGGAGTGGGTGTTTGCTGTATCCTTGTTTCCGCTCTCTCGCGTGCCCTGTGCTGCTTGTGGTGCTGCGAGTGCCGACTTCTTACAGGGAACCTGCCCATGCTCTTGTCGCGCTTGCCGCCTTGCGTTGGCCAGGTTCAAGTCAGGCACCCGCCCCAAAACAGACATTGTGATGGTGGATGGTCGCACAAACACAAAAGCGGCCGTATTTGAGCTCACGCTAGGCGAGGATGCTGACTCGCTTGGCCAGTTGGCAGCGTACGCACACCACGCAATTGTGGCGAACGTGCACCGCATTGCAGGCGAGCACGTGCCTCTGGAGAAGCTGCCCCTGCTCGCTGGGCTGGCGATGTTTGGGCTGCGTGTCAGCCCGGTGCAGACCACCGTGGTGGAGTTTATGGTGGCCAACGCCGGTGGAGTGGTGAAGATGGTTGCCAACAACATCATTTCCATACCAACGAGGAACATTGGGCAGGTTGCTATGGCCATTTCCTGCTTTGCGGACTTCCTGCACGCGAAGTACGACCACGCCATCAAGCAGAACACTGAGCATGGCAGCGACTTTGCGCTGAACGTCATGAAGCCCCATGTGCTGCACTTCAACCCCGACAGCGGCAAAGGTGTGTTGTTTGCTGTTTGCTTGTCTGCGTCTGTATGTGCCTGCCGTTGTATGTGTGTGTGTGCATGTGTGCGTGTGTGTGTGTGTGTGCCTGCGTCTGTATGTGTATATGTGTGTGCATGTGTGCGTGTGCATGCGCCTGTCTCTCCGCCCCCCTCTTTCCCTGCCTCTGTCTGTGTGTGTGTGTGGTTGAAAGGCGGTCGCTGTGCGGCGTTGTATGCACCATTGCGGCTGTGTTTGTGCTCGTGCGTGGTGTGATTCACATGATGCTGGTTGTGCTTATCGCTGTGCTATCAGCAGAGGCACCGAAAGTGCTCAGTTCCGTCGCCAACAAAGGAAGCGGATACGTGTGCAAGTTCATCAAGACTGGGCACCGTGCTGGCGACCTGCGTGCTGAAGAGATTGAGAACATGTGGAAGTATGTCAACGGGCAACGCGCTTGCCGTCGCATCCCCACCACCAACAGCACCGCCACCAACAGCAACATCAGAAGCAGTGGCAACGGCACGCAGATGATTGCGGTGCCCCACCTCGGGTCGACCCGCGCTCACATTCACGAACAGCACGTTGTGCAGCTCTGCAACAGCTTGTTTTCCCTGTCAGCCGCTGGCCTGGTTCACGCCGATATCCACACCGGCAATGTTGCTGTAATCGGCGACGAAGCTGCCCTCATCGATTTTGAGCTGACTTGCTTTGACGCCGACGTCATGAAGGCGGCGGGATATGAGCCGACTGGGGTTGCTCTTGTCACAGACCTGCCTGAGCGGTCGGCACGCATCCGCGCAGCTGGTGATGAGTTAGTGACCTGTCGCATCGAGGATGACTGGATTGCCATGTTTTACGTGTGCAGCCTCCGCTCTGCGCTCTACGAGAGAGCACCGCAGAGGGCACACAGGGCAACCAAGGACGCCATGCTGGCCGCGTTGAAACACCTCGAGCAGCAGCAGCAGCAGCAGCAGCAGGGGGAGAAGGAGGGGAAGAAGGAGGAGGAGGAGAAGGTGGTGCTGCTCGGGATGAGCCCGCCGCCGCCGCCGCTGTGTGAGGTGCTGGGCCGCATCAAGGAGGTCATCGAGGAGATCCCGCTGTACGACTGAGTCTGACCTGACCGCGCGCTTGGGAGAAGGGGAGCCATGTGTGTGCGTGTGTGTGTGTGTGTTTGTGAGTGTGTTTGCTTTGAGTGTGTGTGTATGTATGACTTTATGAGTGCTTCGCACTCGGGTGTGCGTGGGCTTGTGTGAAAGACTTTGTGTCCGTCTGCTTTGCAGACGCGAGTGTGTTGATGTGACTTGTTGCTGCTTTTCCCTATCTGAGCAATCGACTTGCACACGAACAGTGGACATTAATTATCAGCTTTTGAATGCAACTCCAACAAGCAAGTGCGCACGCGTCATGTGGTCATGAGGTCACACGGTCAGATGTCAGGTGCTGTGGTGACTTGGTCAGGTGGCCGCCAGCACCTGAGTGCTCACCACAGTTGCACTCACATCACGTTATCCCAAATTTAATTCAATATGAAAAATTCCTCCGTGCAAACACAACAAACAGTTGGGGCCCATAGCTCAGTGGTAGAGCGCGTGCTTCGCATGCACGATGTCCCGGGTTCAATCCCCGGTGGGTCCACTTTTTGCCTTGTTTTCCTTTCCTCTCTCTTCTTGCTTTTTTTTTTTTTTTGGTTCGTTGATGTGACCGTTTTCCACAACAACAGCAACCAACACACGCTCAGTGTCAGATCACTGCCAGCTCCCGCGAAGCAAGATGCGCCTGGTTGGTAGGCGTGTGCATGCCGGTGTTCAGCACCAACAGCAGCAGGCTGGTCTTTCACAGCAACAACAACAGCAACAAGTGCATGAAGGAGACGTGTTCGAGGTGCAAGATGACGACCATCCTTCGTTTGGGTTTTCTCTAACTGGAGCGTCGCACTCAAAGGAGTGGTCGCTGGTGACGGATGACAGTGGGTCAGGCCGTGAAGCAAGCACGCGATGCACCCGCTTTGCCTTCTCCTCCTCAACAGCATCGGTCGCTGCTTGTGGTGGCATGGAGACACGCGTGCTTGTCAAGGGATGCAGTGTTGTCGTTGAGCGGTTTCAGGCTTCCACGTGCGATGGTGCCCGAACAGCAACTACCCAAGACGCAGGACACAGCCAGTCCCCAGAGGCGGTGCAGTTTCGGTCCTATACCTTGGAGACAGAGCCCATCGATGTGCTATGGGCAACGTTTCCCACAGACCCAAACAGCAGCGAGAATGGTGGGAGCGACGGCGACAGTGGCACAGACGACGCCCCCGCCAACACGACGCTGTTCACGGACCCAACGTCCACAGCACCGGCAAAGCGGCAGAGCCGTGCCTGGCTGGTCGAGTGCCTGTGTGTTGTGGAGCTCTCCCACATTCTGGTCGTTGCGGCGACCGGGGACGTCTTCACGGTGCGCCTGCCGTTTGCAGTGCAGAGCGTGCACGCGTTTTCCACGGGCCTGCTCATCACCCGCAAGCCGCTGCTGGGCATGTCGGAGGCAGATCTGTCCTTCAGCACCCTCCAAGCACACGACGACAGCCTTGTGTCTGACGACGGCCGGCCCGTCCTCTACACCCTGAGTCACCCGCTGGAGGAGCTGCGCCCGTTGCTCATCCGCGACTGCCTGAGCGCGGTGCGAAGGAGGGCGTCGCCAGACAACAATGAGGTTGAGCTCGCGTATCGTGGCGGCATCCGCCCGCTCGCCATCTTCACCCTCGACAGCGGCGACACGGACCACGTTGCTGCGGATGACACGGCCCATCAAACCGAGGACGTGCTCATGGTGTATGATGCGGTTGCTGGATGCGTGCGTATGGCCTCGCTGCAGCAGCGCGATGACACCCACCGCTTCCAGCAGCTGCTCGCTGCTGCTGTGACCAGCGCCGAGCCACGCATTCGCATCCGCACGCCCTACAATGCCCGCAGTGCCTCCGCCATCAGCCTTGGCGCCAACACAAGCACCATGTCTGCACGTGCTCCTCTACCACCAGCACCAGCAGCAGCACCAGCGGCAACGACACGTGGGAGCGGCCAGCGTGGGCGCCGCAGTCTTCCCCACAACATGGCTGGCCTCGCCACTGCCAGCACGCCTCTTAACAGCAGCAACACTGCAAACGACAACACCGCCACCGCCACCATTAGCAACAGCAACAGCAACATCAGCGCCAGTGGCATGGTCCCTCCGTTTTCCCAGCCCCGCCCTCATCACCGCCACGCACCACCACAGCTCCCATCTCACCACCTGCACCATCACAATGCTTCTTTCGAACGGTCATTCCTCTCAACCATCATGCCCCCTGCCACCACCACCGCCGCCACCGCCACAGCGGCTGCAAACACAAGCACAGACACGCCCGTGCGTCGGCGCTCAACAACGTTTGTTCTCACAACACCGACGAGTGAGGGCTATCGCCGCGCCGCCTCTGCAACACCAACCACATGGCAACAGCACCACAGCCAGCAGCAGCTGCATTCCACGCCAGGGGATGCGGGATCAGCCTCTCGCGGGTACAGACTGTCACGGTCGTTGACAGCGACACCAACCCCTGCGCGCATTGGGCACGCCGCTGTGCTGGCCACGCCCCGAACAGCAGCTGCCATCAACAGCGGAATGTCACCGATGGATCTGGACAAGCTGTACCCGCGCCACACGCTCGAGCTGCAGTGTTGTGTCATGACACACACACCCTTACCTCATGGCGTGCCCTCCAACGTGTTCCTGACAGGTCAGCCCGGGCACGGGATGTGTGCAACGCTGTGCTACGATCAGTCGTCACACGTGACCATGCTGTCGGTGCTTCCGCCGTGCATGCAGCGCGACGCTGGTGCCAATGGTGGAGTGCGTGGTGTGCACATCCCACGCGAGCTGGCTGGCCGGTGGATATGTGCGAGTGCTCCAAACGGCGGTGCGTCGCCACCAACGTGCACGACACCATCAACTGCAGTGGCAGCACAGCAGCAGGATGAGCGGCGGGCAAAGGGGAAGGCGGGCGGTGAGGAGTTGAAGAGCAGTGGCGCTGATCAGGGTGCTGGTGACAATACTGCACAGAAGATGGGGAAGAGTCATCATGGCGCGCGTGTGTTGAATGCGCGTGCTGCATTTCCAATCTCTTTTGTATCACCGCCACCGCCACCATCGGCTGCAACAGCGCGCAGAGCAGTGCAGGTCCGGGGCATGTGTTTGCGTATTTGCGTTTGTGTGTGATTGTGATTGTGTGTGTGAATGCGTGTGATTGTGTGTGATTGTGTGCGTATTTGCGTGTGTGAATGTGCGTATTTGCGTAAGTGTGTGAATGTGCGTGAATGTTCGTGAATGTGGTGTGTTTGTATGAGTGGGCAGTGTACGAGTGCGTGCGTGTTGCAGGTGTGTGTGTGTGTGTGCGTGTTCAGTCAATGTGTGGATCGTGGTGGTGGTAAGGGCCAGCATTCGCCTTTATATCGTGTCGTTCACCACCTTTCGGTCTGGTTGTCTCTCTCGCCGCCTTCTGCACGTGTCCGTGGCCGCGGGTGCTGGTGCTGGTGCTGGTGCTGGTGCTGGTGCTGGTGCTGGTGCGTCGCTAATAGGGAGACGTGCTCGTGCACACACTGGATGGCGGTTTGGATGTGTACGTGGACCGGAAACGTGTGGGTGCTCTGGCCCTGTGCACAGGCGACAATAGCCAGGGGCCACTTCGTGTTGCTTCCATCTCACACGTCACCACATCCCGCTTCAGCGCAACAACCCCCACGGTACTTGGGTCGTCTTGCATTGCTGCGTCCATGTGTATGTGTGTATGTGTGTATGTGTGTATGTGTGTGCGTGCGCGTGTGTGGGTATACAAGCGTATGCCTGTGAATGCGCGTGATTGGATTTTCGGCTCATGCCTTACGTACTGCTTGTGTGCTCCATTGTACAGGGTGAAACGTACCGGTTTTCTGGTGCATTTGAAACGCTGGACGAGCGCTCGCAACACATGGTTCGCTCCATGCACACGCTGTGCACGCTGGGGACAGCGGCCCAACATGGACAAAGCGGTGGCGGCGATGTTGACGGTGTTGATGGTGTGAGCGATGAATTGCTGCCGCTCGTTCGTGTGTTCGCGGGCACGTTTCCTGAGTTTGTGCAGCTGCTCCTTGCAGAGAGGTCAGTCTCCCACTTTGGAGTATGTGAACATGAGTGCAATTGCTTGGTGTGTGTGTGTGTGCATGGTATGTGTGTGTGTGCGTGGTATGTGTGTGTGTGTGCGCGGTATGTGTGTGTGTGTGTGGTATGTGTGTGTGTGTTTGCGCGGTGTGTGGTATGTGTGTGTGTGTGTTTGCGTGCGTGTGTACAATTTTCTCACAGGACGGGTGTGTGGCTAGCTATTGCTCGTTCTTGCACCTGTACAATTGCCCTCGCATGTGCGGGTGCGTGTTCGATTCTTTATTGACCACCACCACGACTATTGTCATCACCACCATCATCATCGTCATCGCCAACAGGAATGCATCTGGGTGGACAGCTGTGTGCGATGCGCTGCTGCTCTTCGTCGGGCACGCCCCTGCCATCGAAGAAGTCGGGGATGGCGGCGAGGAAGAGGAGGAGGAGATTGTGTTGCCCGTCGATCCGTCAACAGCAGCGGCAGCAGCCACAGCAACGGCCACGCACAGCCGCCATGGTGATGATGAAGAAGAAGAAGAAGAAGAAGAAAAACAGAAGCACGGTTGGGATGATGATGGTGGTGCGACGATGGACTGGGATGCAGCGCTGGCTGGCCTGTCGTTCGCTGACGTCATGATGAGCGACGGAAAGACTGCGGCGGTGGACGTTGCTTCCGCTTCTCCTGCCGCAAGACAGCGTGTCCGGAAGCTCGTTCCCATCTGCGTTGAGCGGGCAATTGGTGTGATGCACGTCCTGCACTCGCTGTTTCTGGAGTCGCAGTTGTCGTCGTCCACGCAGCACGCCGCTGTCCACTATGGGACCATCCTCATCAGGTCAACTGTGCGATGCTTGTGTGCCATCGACCTCTGTCTTTGTTGGTTGAATGTGTGACTTGTGAATTGTTTGTTTGTTTGTTTATGTGTGTGTTTGTGGTGTTTGTCGTTGTGTATTGCTGTTGTGTGTGTGCATGTGTGTGTATGTGTGTTGTGTGTGTGTGTGTGCGTGTGTGTGTGTCACGTTGTGCTCGGCCCCCTTTGCACTTGTCTGATTCGAGTTGCCTTTCGAAACATGTCGATCATCGCTTCATTCAGGCTGGCTGCATCCATTGGCTGGCGCCACGCAATGGCATTCTACGCCCTGCGATGTCCAGGTACCGCACGCTCAAGAGCACATGAACGTGCTCGTGTGTTTGTGGATTCGTGGTTTGTGGGGAGGATGGTGCGCGTCTTGCGCGTCGTGCGTGTTTGTCTGCGGCGTGTGTCTATGCACGGTTGGCTGCTATGGTGGCGACCAGGCGTGCACACCACGGTTCTCACCATAGCACACCCCTTTTCCACTGATCCTGCCATGCATCGTCCACGACCAGCACTCATGCCCGAACTGCGCAGCGCACAGCGCGAATTCAGCGCTTTCGTCAACCAGGTAACGCGCATTTTGTGCAATTTGCCTGGATACGCTTGTTTGAATTGCTGGTGGAGTGCGTGTGGGCATTTGTGTACGTGCGTGCGTGTGAGTGCGTGTGTGTGTACAAGCAGTTGTTTGTGTGCGCATGAAAGTCTGCACCTTCAACACGGCGCACACTCACGACAATCACAAGCTTGCACACACACACATGAAGACATGCTGTGGTATGCTCTCATTCCTCTCACTGCACAACACAACATTTGCGCATTGGGTGGCGAGCACAGGCCCCTCGAACAGCCTCTTTTGCACATCCCGCTGGCTTTTCTCCACGCCGCCTCTTCTGTGCACTCGAGTGGTCGTCGTCGTTGCTGCCTGAGGACACTTCACCATCTCCACCCATGTCCGTCTTTGCATCCATCACACCGCGCCTACACGCTGTTCTTGCAGCGCTTTCCAAACTACAGCGCACACACGCGCCAGTGGTGGCCGAAGGGAAGACGGCCACAGTTGGTCATGACAGTGGCAGCCGGGATGGCCACAGAGGCGTCGATGATGGTGATGGTGGCGATGATGGCCAGGAAGCGACCACGGTGGCGATGGGCAGGAAGCGAGCAGCGTTTGTGAGGAGAGCGCAAGCGGTGATTGAAACCCTTGCGCGTCACGGCGTTACTGAAGACATTCTCCTCGACCTCCAGCCAGGTGCTGTTGCGATGCAGCTGAAGAGGGAGTGAGCATTTGTGTTGTGTTGTGCTGGCTGCTTCCATGTCATGCGAATGTGTTGTTTGTCGATGGTTGCCACCGCGGTGTCGCTTGCCTCTGTATGCGCGTGCACACGTGGTTTCCGCACTTTGACTCCTGTGCGTGCGTGTGTGTATGTATGGGTGTGTGTGTGTGCGTGTGTGCGTGCGTTTGTTCTTGTCCGGACAGGGCTTCGCTTCCCCTTGCAACTGTGCCTGCAGGCATGCGTGACGCAACCGCCTGAACTGTGGTCACCAGAAGCATACAACCTCGTGCAGAGGTGCGTTTGATGCGTGTGTGTGTGCCTTGTGTGGTCCATGTATGGGGTGTAGTCTGTGTATAGATGTGTTGTGCGGTGTGTGTCTTGTGTTGTGTATGTGTGCTTCGAGGTGTAGTGTCGTGATCTTTCTCAGATGTTGTCTTGTTGTTAATGTCGTTGTTGTTTAAGTTGTCGTAGTTTTCACCGTGGCACCATGTTTCACCACCACCACCACCACCACCACCACCACCACCACCACCATGATGATGATGTTTTTTTTTTTTTCTCCAGAGATGACTTGGCGCTGCAAAACAAACGCATGCCATGCTTGGAAGGTTCGCGCGTGTAATCCTGCCTGCTTGCCTATGAAGTTACTGCGTTGATGGTTGCATCGGAATGCATACGACGCAGTCACCCAAGAAATGCTGCATTCGTGCTCCATCTCACATTCGCACACACACACACACGCACTCACACACCTCTGTGTATCATGTGGTTTAATGATGCGAGCAGAGGATACCGAGCACGCATCCCTGCCCGCCCTCGCTGCTATGTATCCAAGAGGTACGATAGCATGCATTTCATGTCTGCAATCAGCAACCACACACACGCACGCACCCACACAGTGTAAATCACACTAACAGACACACACACACACACACATCAGATGCGGAAGTGGCCGGTGGCAGTGTCAAATCATCGAAGCTGCAGCCCAACACGCTCCTCAGCGATCTCAGATTCCCGTGCGATCGCCGCGTGCAGGAGGTATTGTTCTCGCGTTCTCGTCGTGTTCGTGTGTTCGTGTGTTCTCGTCGTGTTCGTGTGTTCGTGTGTTCTCGTCGTGTTGTCCTGTTCGTGTGTTCGTGTGTTCGCGCGTGTGTGTATGTGCGTGTCGTGTGGGTTGGTTTCAGGTTGTTGTGCCGTGTTGTTCGCATGCATGTTTGCCATTGGCGTGTGAATGGTTGCTCTTGTCTGTTCTCTCACCGTGCGTTGCTTTCTTGGATGGGGACAGGCATGCCGCTTGCTCGACAGCAGTGTTGTGTGCACAGTCCACATGACGCAAGAAATGGGCACTTCAGATCACGACTTTCTCGTGGAGCAGGTGCGAACGTGCCGAAACGAGTCACTGAACACATGTGCTGCAAGCTCTTGCTATCTGTAGCGTGCATGCATGTTAGTGAACGTGTGTGTGTGTGCACATGCGTGCGTTTGAGTGTGTCTGCACGTGCGTGCGCGTGGCACCGGCAGTGTGTTTCAACTCCCGTCGTTCCTCACAACAACACCTGTACGCATGTGTGTGTGTGTGTGTTTTCGTGTCAATAGAAACGGCGGCTGCTGTTTCTGTCGAACCGGACGTTTGCGCTGGCGGTTGGCCGCGGCATGCTTACGCTCGCCTCTCTTCGCCCCATCCCAACACAGGCCATCGAGGTGATGATGATGATGATGATGATGATGATGATGATGATGATGATGATGATGATGATGATGATGATGATGATGATGATGATGATGATGATGATGATGATGATGATGATGATGATGATGATGATGATGATGATGATGTTTGTGCTGTTGCTTTGCTGTGTTGTGTTTGTGCTGTTGCTTTGCTGTGTTGTGTTTGTGCTGTTGCTTTGCTGTGTTGTGTTTGTGCTGTTGCTTTTCTGTGATGGTACCCCATCCTCTCGCTTTCAGCGTCGCTTTCGCGGCATTCCCCTGTTTACATGTGTGTTCTCTTCATTTCACCTCGTAACTCGCTCACTCATTGCATGGTTGCTCGCTACCCACCCTATGCCCACTCCCATGCCCTCACCCCGCTCCTCTGCTGCAAAGATCTTGCCGCTCGTCCTATCCGGCCAATTTCCCGCCCAGAAGACAACGCTGGCGCCAGACTTTAGCGAAGTGGAGTCGACTCACATGCACTGGCCACACTTCCACAACGGCGTGGCGGCGGGACTGCAGCTGGCACCGCCGCCGTTGGTGCATGTTGGTGCATCGTGGATCCCGCACCACGAAGTCGCGTGTGCGTCGTCGATGGAGGAGTATGCAGGATTCCTGTTTGGTCTTGGGCTTCAGGGGCACCTGCCCTCGCTCTCAAACCACGACGTATCGAAATACCTCAACGACGTGAGTGCATGTGCTTGCTTGTGTCTATGTGCGCGTGAGCGGGCTTGTGCGCGTGTGCTGTGTCGCGTGTTTTGCGACGTGTTGTTGCTTGCGTGTCGTTACACCGCTGGTCTCACCGCTCATGCCATGACGAACCAATCCATTGGCTGACAAACATCCACCACGACGCTGTGTATGACCGTGTGCTCGTCAGGGGCACGAGCTTGTGTGCATTGCGCTGCTGTTGGGCATGGCGGCAGCGCGCCCAGGAACGATGGACACTCGCACATCCAAAATGCTCGGTGCGCTGTGGTGGCGTGTTTCGTGTTTGCTAAGGGTTGTGTGCTTGTTTAGGGTGTGTGTACATGTGTTTGTGCATTCTTTCTCTCTTCTATGAGTTTCCTGAACCTGTATGTATGTATATATATGTGTGTGTGTGTGTGCAGCAATTCATCTCGAGGATTTTCTCCCGCCGACATCACACGGCGAAGAGGTCACAGGTGCGGACACAGCCAACTGTCATGTGAATACACGTGTCTTGCATTCATCATGCAAATCAAGGGTCCTGCCACAGAAGAATCCTTCCCCACATATACACTCTGCAAACACACACACACACACACGCAAACACACACACACACACACACACGCAAACACACACACTCTCATCACACACACACTCTCATTCACACACTCTCTCTCTCATTCACACACACACACACTCACACACACACACACACACTCGCAAACGCTGCCGGTATGCAGCCAAGATCACGATCAACACGCAGACGGCTGCGCTGGTAGGGATGGGCCTGCTGTACCGTGGCACGTGCCATCGCCGCATTGCAGAGGTGATGCTGGCGGTGATGGGGCGGCCGCCGTGTGTTGGTCTCGCTGGCCCCCTCGATCGCGAGAGCTTTGCACTCGGCGCCGGGTTTGCACTCGGGCTGATTGTCCTTGGAAAGGTACAGTGGAAGTGGTGGTGGTGATGTGGTGATGTGGACATGCAATGGTTGTCGTGGCGGTGATGGTCATGGTGGCGGCGGTTGTTGTTCAAGTTGCTGGTGCGTCATGGTTTGAGAGCGAAGGTGACATGAGAGACGAGGAGAGATGTGGAGGATTGGTGGTGTTTGACCACAAGGGGGAATCGTGTAATTGTCTCAGTTGCCTCGCATCATCCATCGCTGATGTGTTGTGGGGTCTTGCGTTGTGGTGCATGGTGCTAGGGCGGACATGCGATTGGGCTTGAGGATTTGGCACTGGAGGACGTGCTGTATCACTACATCAAGGGCGCACGCAAGCGATCGCCAGACACGAGCCAGGTGATGGTGCTGGTGTTGGTGTTGGTGGTGGTGGTAGTGGTGATGGTGATGGTGTTGGTGGTGGTAATGGTGGTGGTGGTGGTTGGCGTGGAACCTGTGGCCGTTTGCTGTTCTGTTGTGTTGTTGTGTTGTATTGTGTGTTGGCGTGGCGATTGCCTTGGACACTGCCCGTTGCAGACAGCGCGTGCGAAGAAGCAATTGTTAGATCCCCCTCATCGATACTCAACACCGTTGCCATCTCTGCAGACGGGCGAGCGCGTATTGGAGAACGACATGATCAACACGCACGTCACCGCCCCAGCAGCCGTTGTCGCTCTCGGTATGAGCGTGTGTGTTTGTTTGTGTTTGTTTGTGTTTGTGCTTGTTTGTGCTTGTTTGTGCTTGTTTGTGTGTGTTTGTGTTTGTGTTTGTGTGTGTTTGTTGTGTGTTTAAGTTCGGGGCAGTCTGCCACTGCTTGTTGCGGATACTCTCGTCTCAACTCAGGGTATGTTTCTGGTTGCACCAGGCTTAATGTACATGAAAACGAACAACGAGGCTGTGGCTGCTCGCCTTGCACTTCCAGACACGCAGGTGTGCACTTTTTCTACTGGTGACTTTGTTTGAGAAGCGGCGTTATCGTGATGCTGCACACTTTTGAAGCGACACAAGCTCCGCATTGTTGTGCCACACATACACATACATATACATACACACACATACACACACATACACACACACACATACACACACATACACACACATACACACACATACACACATACACTCACGCACACACAAACACACATACACTCACGCACACACATACACACATACACACACATACACACACACATACATACATACATACATACATACATACATACATACATACATACATACATACATACATACATACATACATACATACATACATACATACATATACATACATACACACACACGTGCAGTTCCTGCTGGACACTGTTCGGCCGGATGTGCTGCTACTGCTTGTGATGTCGCGGTCCCTCATCCTGTGGGACGACATTGAGCCCACGCGCGAGTGGATTGACAGCCAGTGCCCACCGGTTGTTCAGCGTTACGCCATTGAGAACGTAAGTCGGTGCTCATGGCGTTAGTGTTGATGGAAGCGCAAACGCGTGGGTGAATGGCGGGGTGTGTTAGTATGTGTGTGCTGTTGCGTTTGCGTGTGTGTGTGAGTGCGTGCGTATCATCCCTCAATACAACCTCACTGATACACATTCACACACATTCACACACACACATGCACAGCGCGACGTGCATCGTGTTGATGAGGATGTGCTTGAGACGGCACGGCAGGCGCAAGTGTTTATTCTCGCGGGCGCATGTCTTGCACTTGGGCTGAGGTGCGATTGGTTGCGCGTCAGTGGTTGTGCAGGGGATGTTTGAGAGACGGTGGTACGCCAGTTGCCATTTGCCATAACCAGTCGCACTTGGATCATCTTTCGTCTTTCGTTTGAGTTCTATGTGTTGATATTGATTTCCCCCATCGTGGCGCGTTGTTCATCTGCATGACAATGCATGAGCTTGCCCCCCCCCAATTCACAAGCAATGACACGTGTCGGTGTTCAGGTTTGCTGGGACAGCGCACCAGGGCGCCGTTGATGCAATCATGTCCGTGGTTGAGTTGTACCGGAAGAAAATTCCACCACTGGAAGCACGTCGCATCAACCCAATCAACGTGGCCACGTGTCTCCACACCGCTCTCCTCGCAGCTTCCATGGTACTGCACTGTTGTGTTGTGTGTGTGTGCGTGTGCGTGATGTGTGTGCGTGTGCGTGTGCGTGATGTGTGTGCGTGATGTGTATGTGTGCGTGGCGTCACGTGTGATTGTGCTTGTTCGTTCGTTTCTCTGTGGATTGCTGCCCGATGTATGACATCATGGCGCGTCACACTGACACCACGTGCACTGCCATGTTGTGCAGGTGATGGCTGGCACGGGCTACATCCCCGTCCTGCGCATCATTCGCGCCCTCAGGACAGAGTCAGCAGTTAAGGTACACAGGGGCAGTGTGGCGTGTGTTTGGGTCAGTTTGGTTTGGTTTGGTGTAAGGCATGTTTGAGTGTGTTCGTGTGTTTGTACGGAGTGTGTTGTGTGGTGTGCATGTATGTGCGTGTATGTGCGTATGTGTGTGTGTGTGCTTTCACATTTGTTGCATTCACGTCTATTTTTGTATCCCCCCTTTCGCTCCCCCCGTCTCACTCCGCACGTCCTCACGCCGCCACTGCTGCTGTGCTTTTTCAGACGAGCTACGGCCACCACATGGCGATGCACATGGCTGCAGGCCTTCTCTTCCTCGGCGGCGGAACCATGACGCTTTCACGATCGTAAGCGGATCTTCTGTTTGTCTTCGAGTTGTGTTGTCATGAGCATGTCTCCAATACAATACGTTCTTCTCTGCACACTGCCTCATGGTTTTACTCCAACAGTACCATGTATGATTGGCATGGCAACAGCCACCTCTCGGTTCATCACCCACGTTTCACCATCTCTCATGTTCCTGCCTGCTGCAACCTTGCTCTGCACTTGCGTGCATGGATTGACGAGACAGGAACGAAGCAATTGCTGCGCTGCTGATGGCGTTCTTCCCAAAGTTTCCGCTGCACACGGCCGACAACCAATACCACTTGCAGGTCAGTTGTGCACTGAGAGGTGATGCCTGGTACAGACACAGAGGCAGGCAGAGAGAGACAGGCAGAGAGAGAGAGACAGGCAGAGAGACAGGCAGAGAGACACACACACAGACACACACACAGACACACACAGACACACACTCACACTCACGCACTCACACTCACGCACATACCGCACTAACACGTTCATCCTTGGCGTGTACGCGTCGTGAGCAGGCGCTGAGACATCTGCATGCGATGGCGGCTGTGCCGCGCATGCTGGCGGCGAAGGAAGTCGGCAGCAAAGCGCTCGTGCACGTGCCCGTCGTCGTCAAGATTGCACACGATGCTGATGATGACGGTGATGATGGCAGCAGCGCCAACCCGAGCCGGCGCGGTGTGGGCGCGAAGGCCAATGACGCAGGGGGCGGCAGTGGTGGTGTGAGCACATTGCATCTCGTCACGCCATGTCTGCTGCCCACGAGCTTGGACCGCATCATTTCCATCGAAACCGTTGGTCACCGCTACTTTCAAAACACCATCCGACCAATGTGCGTCGCGCGCGCGTTGCGTGTGTGTGCTCGTTTGTGTGTGCGTTGCATGTGTGTGTGTGTGTGTGCGTATGTGTGTGTGTATGTGTGTGTATGTGTGCACCTTTTTGTGCCTGTGTGTGCACGGTTCGATATGTTTGTGAATCTCACGCATAAGTTGCTGGGCGTTGCATTTGACCATCGTTGTCACTGATTGCACCACATCACTCCCCACATGATACGGTTTCTGACAGGACCAACGGGTTGCAGCGGCGTGTCCTGATGCGTCACATGACCCTTCACGTGAAACTCAGACCTGGACGTGTTCCGTATCGTGCCAACACTCTGGTGAGTCGACGACCGGCTGGGTTTACGATCGTGTGCTTGACTCATTAATTGGGCTTGCTTCAACTCTGTTCACACACACACACAACACACACACACACACACGCACACACACACATACGCACACACACATACGCACACACACACACACACTCACACATACACACTCACACGCGCGGTGTAGCTTGTTGAGGATCTTGTGCGGCAGTGCGAGCGCGCGCTTGGAGTGACGACACCAAAGACCATTCGACCGGTGACCACAAGCGGTGATTTCTCGGCCATTCTCTCCAGCGAGCAGCACGCCACGTCCGAGATCACTGATCAGGAGCTTGCTGTAGTGCACACGCGTGAGGCAGCGAGCGCACGCAACGACGTCACCGCAACGTTCCTTCCACAAGCGGTGCGTGGTTGGACAATTGGGCTCAATAAGTGTGCGTGTGCGGGTGTGTGTATGTTGTACCCTAGCGTGCTTCTCCGTCCTTGTTCCCTCCCCTCACTATCACCTCATCCATCTTCATCCCGCTTCCCGCCATTGCTTCATCCCGTCAGCACGACCCGCCACTACCGCTGCACGTCGCCTGCTTTGGGCGGCCGGACTGCTCGGAGCCGTTCATCAACCTCATCGCTGCCGAGCAACAACACGCCATTGGCGTGCCGGCCACGCTTGCGTTTCTCCATCGCACATCTCTCGCAGCAGGTTCGCACGTCTCGTTCGGGTTTGTCGTACCTGCAAACGCACACACACACACACACACACACACACACACACACACACACACACACACACAGCCCTTCGCCTTTGGCTGACATTACCATCCGCTCGTTGTATGTATGTGCTGCAACAGGGGAGTGGCTCACCAGCGGGTGCTGTTCCGCTGCTGTCGCCGATGACTTTGAACAACTGAGTGCCGTCCTTGCACACACGCAGGAGATGGCAGCACTAACGGCTGTGACGGGTGCCAGCGATGGCGGTGGCGGTGTGTTGTCACTCTCACCGCAGATCCAAGGCATGCTGGTTGCAGTGAGAGATGACATATGCACACGTCTTGCGCGTCGCATTTGCAGCGCCAGTCGCGGTGATGGCGGTGTGTGGAAGCAGCTTCCGTCTGCCGTGCGCACGTGTGTGTTTGGTGATGATTTGGAGGTGGATGAGTTGTCCGCTCTTGACGCCGCCGTTCTGAACGCGGCGCGGGCTGTGCTGGCGCTGCTGTCGTTGCGTCATGGAAGCTTGCGTCACCTCGATCGCATTGCACTCCAGTCGCTCAAGCCCAGAATCGACACGCAAGCGCCCAAGACAGACGACAGCAGCGGTGGACTTGGTGGCGTTGATGGCGCTGACGTCGATGTTGAGACTCTCGTGTTGTTGGCAGACGCGCACCCGTCGGCATCAATTGCGCAACTGCAGACGCTCGCTGCCATCCTCGTCCTCTAGATGCACGTGATGGTGGCGGTTGTGGAATTGTGTACAATGCTTGTTTAAGTTGTTGTTGTTGTTGTTGTTTAAGTTGTTGTTGTTTAAGTTGTTTAAATTGTTGTTGGTGGTGGACGCACTGAAGTGCTGTCAAACAGTAAACAAACAAACTTGCAGCCAGGACGTGTGCATCATGTCGTTTATTGGTCAAGCAAGCTCTGGCCAGCGTCGATTATCTCAACAGCCACACACGCACACACACACACTCTCTCTCACACACACACACACATACGTACAAAGGCACAGGCGCACGTCACGTCCAGAGCGGTTGCGCGTCCCATGTTGGCCGTCCGTCCAGCAGCACGGTGGCATGTGGAACGATGGCGTGGATGGTGCGGAGGAGGTGTGTCTCGATCTGTCGCCAGTGCCGTGCAGGGAGATAGCCGTCACGAATGGAGCGGCAAATGGAAACTAAACGCACGTGCTGCCCCAACTCTGACGTCATCAGAAACGCGCGCAGTTCCTCCAGATCGTGTTCAAGGTCTCCTGGACGCAGTGTCCTGAACATGACCATCTCATTGGAGCGATATTCAACATACTCGTCGTCCACCTCCACAAACCGCCGATACTTGTTGTTGTTGTTGTTGTTGTTGTTGTTGTTGTTGTTGTTGTTGTTGTTGTTGTTGTTGTTGTTGTTGTCGTCGTCGCTGATGGAGATCTCCGGCCGCTCCTGGTCCACGCCTGTCGCCACCGCCATCTGTCGCGGAAATTCGCGCGTGTGCAGCCGCCGTTCGCTCAGCGGCACGGCAGCAAAGCCGACATCAAGAAGCGCAGCGAGCATGGGTGGTGTTGGCGATGGTGTGTGTGTGTTGCTGGAGGCCACGGCCGTGTGCACCGCAGCCACAAACTGCATCACCACTGAATCAAACACGCGTGCACGTTCACTGGCGGCGTCACTGCTTTGCCCTCGCACACGATAGAGCAACCCACGCCGTTGTTGTTGTTGTTGTTGTTGTTGTTGTTGTTGTTGTTGTTGTTGTTGTTGTTGTTGTTGTTGTTGTTGTCGGTCTGGCTGACGATTGTAACCACGTCCATCACCGTCGCCACCCGTGTCACCATCACCATCACCATGATAGCCGTCATCGAGGCGAAAGCGCTGCAAGAGTTCAAGTTTGTGGTGTCGGCGTCCTTTGCGCCGCGTGCTCCAGAACGATCCGCCACGTAGATACCGCCGCTGTCGCCGCTGCTGTCGTCGTCGTCGATGTCTGAGCGCCGTGCGATCAATGGCGCTGTGGATGCGATGATGTTCACTCGCCGCAGCATTTTCCTCGTCGTCCACATCTGCTTCTTCCTCGTCTTCCACATCTGCTTCTTCCTCGTCTTCATCGTCATCAGCGTTGGATTCATCATCGTCCTCATCATCATCCTCTCGTTCAGGTTCGTCGTCGTCCTCTTCATACTCATCGTCACCATACTCGTCGCCTGCACCGAGAGCAGATGCTGCCTCGAGGTCAGCACTCGCGCACACCACCTTCGCTTTCCACGCATCTGGCGCCTCCCACTCTGTAGTGGATACAAATATGAACAACAACGACCTGAGGTGAGAGGGTGCACATAACGCCAATGCCATGGTGTGCACAAGAACACCTTCAATCACACCCGTTACCAGTTACGAGCATGCGCAAGCACACACAAAACCAACCAACCAACCAACCAACCAACCAAACCAACCAACACACCTTGGTTGAGCGCAGCTTGGGCGAGAATGGCAGCAATCTCGGCTTCGTCCTCTTCATCGTGTGCACACAGCTGCAAAATAGCAGCATCAACAGCCGCCAGCGTCGTGTTTGTCCAACCAGCGGTGGCAAGATAGCCAACGGCATCTGCGGTGATGAAGTAATCCTCGTCAATGTCGAGTATGATCCCCGGTGAGTCGCCCTCCTTCGGGAGCGTGATGCCACGCTTGGACAGCTGCGATCCAACAATGACCTGACATGAGGGTGTGAATGTGAATGTGAATGCGAATGTGAATGTACGTGTACGTGCGTGCTTGTGTGGGGTCGTGTGTGTGGTCGTGTGTGTATTCTCGTGCGTGGTCGTGTGTCCCCGTCAATGTTGACACAGACTAAGCCACGCCATATATGCGTGAAGAGAGCTTGAGATCTGAAACATGCGTCCAGATAATCACACACACACACACAGAAACACACACACACACGCACACACACGCACACGACCTCCAATGGGACGATGCGTTGGAGGAAGCACTCGATCGCGGGTAGGTCATCATCTTCGTATGATGTGCAGGTGCGCACTGCATCAAGACTGTGAGGGTTCCACCACGGACCCAAGATGGTGCAGTCGCAAGGCTCGTTGTCTTCGGTGATGCCAACGCCAACTGCAGCCATTTCTGGATCAACCCATCTACGCAAGCAAATCGCCACCACATCAACAGAAAGAGGGCACATCAGTCACCACAGTGAGTGAAAGAAAGCGAAGGAGAAAACAAAGTCACCCAAGCCCATAGGCGCACAACCACACACGCGTTAACACACGCATGTACACACGCATGTACACTGCGCACCTACGCGCACTTGTACTCCCCCCCCCACACACGCACGCACACACAACACACTCTCACACAACACACTCTCACACACTCTCACACAACACTCTCACCCGTCATTCCAGTATGGGTCAAACATGTCGCCCTCGTTGGCGACGCCCCAGTCTGGCACAATCCACGTGATGCGGTCAATCAGGCCAGAGTGAACTGCCTCCTCGATAAACTCGTCGTTGCTTGTGTGCAGGAGCTGGCGGTTGATGTGCTTTGAGAAGATGTCACTGGGCTCCCGCACGTACTTCTTCGGGATGGCCAGGTCACTGTGTGCATCAACGTGCACAAGGGTGAAGCCCTTCTTGTGTGTTTGGGCAGCTAGCTTGTACCAGCGAGGCAGAACGTGCTGGTGCTCGTCTGTGATGTACACTGGAACGGCGCCTTGTGGAATGGAAGAAGCGTCTCCATCATCAGCAGCGCGTTGCCACCGCGAGTCACGGCGGCTCCTGCTCAACAGCGGCCAATCCAGCGTGAGCGCCACCAGCCACACCACTACAATCGCGCAAATCGCAACGCACACAAGCCTGCGCCATGGCCGCGACAGCAGTGGCGCCGACATGCTGGCTGCAGGGCTGCAGGGCTGCAGGGCTGCACAGCTGGGGTGGTGGGAAGGGTGGGATGAGGCCAAGCAGAAATCAAAGCAGGACCTCACTTCTTGTCTTTAAACTGCTGGCGTTCAAGTTGGGAAGAATGGCTGCGACACACACAATTTTCGCAGCACACCGACCAAGATAGCAAAGACAGAGCAGAGCAAACTAGAGCAGAGCAAAGCAGACCACAGCAGCAAAGGCGGTTGTGTGTGTGTGTGTGCGTAGGTGTGTGCTGCCTTTTGTTACATTGAACGCATGGCCATGTATCGGGTGTGGAAGGCAGCACAGTCTGCGCTCTCTGAAGCGCTTGCGCCGGCGCAGCGGTCTGGTTTGGAGGAGTTCAAAGAGCAATGGAAGCACATCTCAGATCTCATCGTGTATTGCGAACAGCACGGTGAGGTGGTGGCATGCGACCTGTGTGTGTGTGTGCATGTCTGTGGATTTGGGCTGTGTGGATTTGGCTGTGCGTGTGTGTATGTGGGTGTGTACATGCGTGTGTGTGTATGTGTGTGTGTGTGTGCAAACATGTGAGCGCGTGAGTGTGCTTACATTACATATCGTGATTGTTGTTTGGAGGGACTTGGACTGACCCAAATTCTGTGTGTGCGTGTGTGTGCGTGTGTGTGCGTGTGTGTGCGTGTGTGTGCGTGTGCGTGTGTGTGTGCGCGTGTGTGCTAATACGAGCAGAGGAGACACATGTCGCTGAAACGACGCTGGGTAAATGCATGGACCGCCTGGTTGAGCTGCTGATGGCTGAAGAAGAGGCTCTCGAAGGAGAAACCGTGCGTGTTCTGTCCTCTGTGTGTGTATTTACGTGCGTGGGTGCGTGTGCGTGTGTGTGCATGTGTGTGCGTGTGCATGTGCGTGTGCGTGTGCGTGTGCGTGTGCGTGTGCGTGTGCGTGCATGTGTAGGTGCGTGTGTTTCGTGCGTGTACGTGCACCCGCTGTGATGTGGCTTTCTACATGCGTGCTCATTCTTCAACCTGCCCTTGCTTATGACGTCCCTTCACCCCATCCCAAAGGGCCCCTGCATGGAGTACATGTACTCACAGGACATCCTCAAGATTCTCGTCAGCATCGGCGAAACAGATGTGTGTTGCGATGGCATGGAAGGAAAGGATACAACATGAGATGATCTTGTTACAGTTGCTCACAATTGCATCATGGCTTGTCGTTGTTGCTGTTGCGTGTGCGCATGTGCTGACAGGTCCCAGCTGGCACGCGTCTGCTCACATTGAAGATGCTGACACGAGTACGTCAAGCCGAGGCCAGGCTGAACTGTATGACTTCTGCCAACTGGTCGCTCAGTCCCGATGTCCACCCACATGACCCACTCTGCTCACACACACACACACACACACACACACACACACAACGGACGTAGTTGTTGGGGTCGACGCGGCAACGCATGCTTGCGCACCGCTGCGTGTTTCCACACGTGGTGTCACTGCTGCAGGCGTGCATCCGTCTCGTGGACGACCCAGACACCACCGGCGAGCTCACTTGTGTATGTATTGGAGGTCGTGTATGTGTATGTGTGTATGTATGTATGTATGTATGTATGTATGTATGTATGTATGTATGTATGTATGTATGTATGTATGTATGTATGTATGTATGTATGTATGTATGTATGTATGTATGTGTGTGTGTGCGGGACGGGGATGGCGTGGCTTGAGCTACGAAGCTGTTGTGTTTTTGATGAATTGCTTCGTGTTGATGATTCACGCTTGCACTTCTCCCCTCACGCCAAGAGTCATACCATTCGTCCACAACGCCATCACATGTCGTCACAACATCATCGACACTACTGCTATCACACATCTCCATCACCACCACCACGTGCCATCGTCGTCATCCGCACAGGCAATGATGAGGTTCAACTGCGCCGTCTGTGGAAAACTCAACGACGACCCAAATTTCTCGGACCTCTTCATCATCCAGGTGTGCATTCGTTTGTGTGTGTGTTTGTGTTTGTGTGTTTGTGTTTGTGTGTGTTTGTGTGTGCTTGCGCACGCGTGTTGTATTGTGTTGCACACATCCGATTGCACACAACCAGCATCGCCTCACATCGCGCCACAACACCACCGTCATTGTACAGGGCGTCAACTTTCTTCCGCTCACGCTGGCAACACAGCTGATCGGCAGTGCACACGCGGTGAGACGAGCTGGGCACTTGTGTGTGTGTATATGTGTGTGTGTGTGTGTGGGCTGTGTGCGAGTATGCATGTGTGGGGAGCTTTGTGGGCAAGTGGTATGCTTCGTCATTTGACTCGCATTGCCTGCACACACTCACGTCGCACCACCCACCAACACTCCACATCCAAGGAAACGTCGCGTCTTGCGCACGAGACGGCCGCCCTCTGTGCAACTCTTGATGTCGTAAGTACAATTCCTCACTCACTCACTCACTCTCACTCTCACTCTCACTCACTCACTCTCTCTCTCACACACACACACACACACTCTCTCTCTCTCTCTGTGTTGGAACTCGTGAGCACGCGGGTTGTTGCCCAACCTTCAACTCTTCACACGCACCCGTGTATATGTGGATTGTCCTGCTCTCATGCCATGTTCTTCAGCCGGCGCTGGAATCCATCATCATCAACCACTCCAAACTGCCCTCGGCACTGGTGTGTACCGCTTTGCCTGTTGCTAGACACACGCTTGCATGCGCGTGTGTACAGATCTTTGTGTGTTTGTGGCGAGAACACCGCTTCGTGCCTCACTCTTGCGCCGCACTGCCTCGCACACACACACACTCACTGCCTCGCACACATACACACACACACACACACACACGCCACACGCACGCACACACACACACACACACACACAACATATCATCATACACGCTCGTGCGAGCAAGATGGATGTGCTGCTCGCGCTGTATGCGGAGCTGCCGCAGTCGATTTCGGAATCAGATGCGCGGTTCATCGACACCCTCTCCGCTTTCACGTGCGCACATGTCTGTGGTCTTGTTTGTTTATGTGTGTGTGTTTGTGCGTGTGTGTGTGTGCGTGTGCGCGTGTGCGCGTGTGCGCGTGTGTGTGCGTGTGTGCGAACAGCAGAGTGCCCACTCCATCGCACTCCCTGTCGACGCCGTCATGACAGGATGCGAACTCAACTGCATCAGGTCACCATCAAGTTGCCATCTGTTCACCGCAGTCACTCCCCCGCTTCCGATTGTCCAATTGTGTACACATGTGCCGCAGATCGCGGCCACCGCTCTTCTCCTGGCGGCAGCGGCGCAGTCTCGAATACGACGCAGCCGTTCCGTTCAAGGTGGTGATGATGGTGGATGGGTAGGGGATGGATGGTGACAGGGAGAGCGCAGTGGTGATCAGCGCATGCGCGTACGTATGCATGTGTGTGCACCCGAATACGTGTCATGTGTCTGTGCATGATGGAGGCGACGTTTCTCTCAACCTCATTCATGTCTGCAACCATCATCATCATTCACCATCACCTGCGCAGGCGCTGGCCGCGTTTCTGGAGGAATTGAACTTTGTTGATCACATTGCCAGCAACTGCACAGAGCGCGTCGCACAGGTGAAAAGCACACGTTGCTGTGGCGATGGCGATGATTATGTCGCGCCTCTTGCTCTGCTGCGTGCGCGACGTGCCATTCACACGCACACACACACGCACACACACACACACATACACGTGTCCATGTTGGGCAGGCGATTCAGGTGTCGTTTGCGGATCGCTTTCTCCAGCCGGTGTTTGAGGCCAAGCTCGTGCAGGTGCGAACACACACACACACACACACACACACACACACACACACACACAGCTTCAGCGTGCTGGTGAGAGCTGTCTGTGGAGCGAGCTCTTTAGCGTGCGTGCCGTCACTCACTCCGTCTGCGCCTTCGTGTGTACATGTGTGTACGTGTGTGTTCATGTGTGTGCGTGTGTGTGCATGTGTGCATATGTGTGTACATGTGTGTGTATGTGTGTGCATGTGTGTACATGTGTGTACATGTGTGCAGGGATCAGAGGGGGCGGCGGATATGGCGACGTCATATCTGACGCTCTTCGTGCAGTACCTCAAGTCGCCACACCTCCTCGACGGTGCGATTCGCACATGCGCACAGAGCGAGTCGTGTGTATGTGTATGTGTATGTGTGTGAATGTGTGTGTATGTGTGAATGTGTGAATGTGTGAATGTGTGTGTACGTGTGTGTATGTGTGACTGACTGCACAGAGGGTGTGTGGTAATTGCATCTTCCTCACACCCTACTCACCACCACGACCATCATCATCAACCTCCTCATCATCATCGTCACCTGCACCATCGTCTTCAGGCGTGTCTGAGTTTTCGTTGAGCGAGAAGGTGGGCCCAGCCCTCATCGCCCGCTGTGACGACATGTCGGACCAGGTACACGATGATGTGTTGGGATGTGTTGGGATGTGTTGGGATGTGTTGGGATGTGTTGTTGGTGATGTGCTGCATGCAGAGGTTCTCTTGACCTAATTGTGCCCCCATATCCTCACTCACACACACACACACACACACACACACACACACACACACACACACACACACACACACACACACACAACACAACACAACACACAACACAACACCATGCCAGCTGAGCCTGACGACGCTGCTGTTCTTCCTGAAACTGCTGTCACGCTACCGGCGCCACTCGTTCCACTTCCTCGTCGGCCAACACATGCGCCGAGACGCCGCTGTCACCGCCTCCCTCCTCACACCGCGACAGACCACAGACAGGTCAGTCGGCGGCGCTGGAGGAAGAAGGGGGAAGAAGGGAGACGGATGTCATTGTTGTTGGGAAAGACGTTTGGATGGAGAACTTGTGGAGTTGGAACTTGCATGGTGGTGGTCCTTGGGAAGGCGTTTGTTTCGACAATTTGTATGTGTTTGCGCGCGTTTGTGCGTGTGTCCAGGTGCCTGCTTCCCTCCGCTACGACTGCTTCTCTCTTCTCTTCTCCAACATTCTCTCTCCTCTTTTCACGTTGGATTGCTGGCCAGGCTTGCGGAGTTGGTTCCTGCGCATCTGTGCACGGATCCAAACGAGGAAGGCACGCGTCTCCACTTTGAAACCGCCGTCAACGCGGTACGCACATGTACATGACACACCGGCACCATGGGCACGCACTGCCACCACTGCCACAGGCACCTCATCCACCACAACCACCATTCCAACAAACAATAGCAAGAGCATATGTGCACTCGCTTCCTCACTCAAAGTTTACATCCACTCACTCACCGTCACTCATTCACTCCCGCACTCACTCCCACACCCACTCGCACACCCTCTTTCATTTCAATCCATCCCCCCTCCCCTCAACAACAAACACACCATCTCTGTTGTTCAGATGCGCCTGGCAGCGGAAGGGTGTGCAGAGTGGATGAGCCCGAGCGATAGCGACGATGCTGACGACGATGATGATGATGACGGTGATGAGACACAGAACGAGAATGATGACAACACAGCACAGGATGACACTGGCGCTGTATTGGTATATGCGACACGTGCGCCGTGCGTGTGTGGCGGCCCCTTCCTGCAGACGCTTCTCTCCCGCCTTTCCCGCCTGTTTGACCAGACACACGACATCAACCTCCTCGTCACAGCAATCATCACAAGCTTGCTCGAGGTGTGTGCTCTGTCTGTATGCACGCATTTTATGTGTGGATGCTTGCATGTGCGTGTGTGTGTGTTTGTGCGTTTGTGTTTGTGTTTGTGTGTGTGTGTGTGCGTGCGTGTGTGTGTGCGTGTGCGTGTGTGTGTGTGTTTTGCGTGTGCGTGGGTGTTCGTTCGTGTGTGCGTGTGCGTGTGCGTGTGTGTGTGTGTGTGTGTGTTTGTGTGTGCGTGTGTGTTTGTGTGTACGTGTGTGTGCGTGTGTGAAACTTTGAGCGTGCACATCTTGCGCATGTGCCCAGCGCCCTTCATTGTCATTGCATGCACCCATTTCCTTCTCAATCTCAACACCTCACAATACCCGTCCACTCTTCTTCCAACATCGACACCAGTATCCAAGCCCAGCACTGCGGCAGTTTCTGTTCAGTTCCCATCCAGACTCCCTGCTCACCCTTCTCGATAAGGTGGTGCACATGCGCCTTCAGGATGCGTGTGCGCGGTGTTGTGCATGTGTGTGCGCGCGGTGTTGTGTATGTGTGTATGTGTGTGCGTGTGTTGCGCATGTGTGTATGTGCGTGTGCACGTCACCGTCTCTCCCTTCATCTGTCTTCATCCCCACCACCACCACCGCCGCCACCGCCACCATCATCGCCCCTTTGATCAGTTGTCTGGCGAGTTGGTTGCGCGAGCAAGTCGACGCGATAATGCAGAAGAGAAACTCAGGCTCTTCCGTTCAGAAATGAGGTGTTTGCATTGTGTGTGTGTATGTATGTGTTTGTATGTGTATGTGTGTGTATGTGTATGTGTGTGTGTGTGTATGTGTATGTGTGTGTGTGTGTGTGTGTTGCGGCTCATTTTCTTACGACAATTTTCATGCTCGCACCCATCACTGCCACCATCAGCTCTGGGCGCCAGCCGAGCGACGATTATGCATCGTTCTACGAAGCCGTCATCCTCCTCGAGGAATTCGCAAAGGTGGTGTGCCTACACTCTCATTGTGTGCTTCTACCCGTTCGTGTGTGTCTTGCACATGATGTATCTTGCGGCTTACCCACCATTCCTCGCACCACCACCACCACCACACGTGACATCTCTCTTCATCGCCCGCCACCCCACGAACGAACGAACCCCCGCAGGAACTGTCTGCTGTTGCTCTCGTGGACGCAAACAACGTGATTCTGTCATAGGTCCCTTGTGTTGTGTGTGGCATTTAAAGTGTGCACGTGCAGTGTCTTTGCGTACGAGCAGCCGCTTTGCTGCCCCCGCCCCGCCCCAGGTTTCCCAGTGTGAACCACGCAGCGAGTGCATACTCACAGTTGCAGTTGGCAGATATGATGTATGGGAGGCACACAATGATACGCCACAAACCTGCTGAACATCGTCAATACAAGGGTGGGGGGGGGGACACAGAGAACCAACACGCGAACGAAACACGACAGACAGCAATTGGCCACGTAACGTGGTTGCGAGCACAGATACGCGCACACATGGATCACAGACAATCACAAGCAACGGCAAAGAGCGGGTGGATGTTCACACTCACGTACATGTTGCTGCTCACGTGACAACACCGACAGCAGGACACAGCAACAGCAACAAGAACAACAACCAACAGCAAAGGGTTGAAGAGGAGAAACTAGTGGTCAATCAAAAAATGGGAGGAAGAGAACGATGGAATGGACACTGCTTGAGATGGTGATGGTGTGTCATGCATGCATGGCATTGAGGTTGATAGAGCAGCTTGTGGGTCGGCTGTGGTGGCAATGCAAAACTGTCACCGCGGATAGGAAGTGCTGGACCATGTGAGTGTGTGCGTACAGTTGCGCCCACAACACAAAGGCCTTTTCCAGAGCGGCGACACAGATGTTGGTGGAGGTGATGACGGTGAGTGCTGCTCAATAGCTGGAGTAACTGTTCTCTGTTCTGAGTTCTGCCCTCTGCTGTGCTGCTTTTCGGGAGAGCCTCATTTGCCAGAAGCTGATGAGCAAGGTGGCACCATAAAGACCCGCGGCAATGAAGCAATTCCTGCGTTGTGTGTTGTGTTGCGTTGTGTTGTGTTGTGTTGTCAGCGCTGGCGAAACAGACAAGCTGTCAGAGAGGGCCGCGGTAGCGGTCATGCAACTGTGCAGCAACACCGCAACAGTGGCTCAGCACCAAATCACGGAATCGAATCACAAAACAACCAAAGCATTCGCATGTCAACCCCAAGGCATTCGCATGTCAACCCCAAGGCATTCGCATGTCAACGTACTGTCCGATGTTGTGCATGTCCTCGACTGTGTTATCCGACGAGTCAGAGCGCAGTGCGCGGCTGTTTGTCTTGAACAGCGCACCAAGAACCACCTGACAACAACAAGTGGTGTTTGGATGTGCGTGTGTGTTGCGTGAGCACGGAAGGTCGCGGATGCACACGCGCACTAGGGGTGTCCACAACCACAGGAAACGCACACGCACACACGCACACACACACACACCATTGCACACACACACATGCACACACACATGTACACACACCATTGCACACACATGCACACACACACGAATCCACCCGCCAACCCCCCCCCCACACACACAAACGCAAACACACTCGCACGCACCAGCATGAGGATGCCCCAAATGCTGAGGACGAAGCAGCAGTGAGAGCACTTGGGCCCGCAGAAGTTCAAAGACACCATGACTGTGTGCTTGGGGTTTCTCGTCTAAATTATCAACCTCGCAGAAGACTGCTCGCTTGTGCTCGCTTGTCGTTAATTGTTGTTGTCGTGTGTGTCGCTGCAAGCAAGCGTGATGCTGTCTGTCTGTCTGTCTTGGGTTGTGGAGTGCGGTTTGGAGGGATGAGAATCGTGCGTGGATTGGGACGATTCACTAAAGACAAGCACCAATTATCCAACCACCAACGCCGTATCGAATCTGTGCAATTTGCACAAACATTTCCTTGTTCCCGCGACATGCGACACACAGAAATCACCAACAGCCACATCTGACATCATCTTGGCTCATTCCGCCATTGCCCGCACACGAAACAGAACAGAGGTGAGATGCAACATGCAGTGAGTGCAATGTGTCTTGCTTCGTCGTTCACCCTCCCCTTCTCGCTTCGCCTCGGCTTGCTTCGCTTGCCCCTCTCGTGCGCCCCATCCCGTGCGACATCCTCTCACTCACTCACTCTGGCATCATTTCTCGCCCCTCGCTCGCACATTCTCGCTCATCCAGACAAAAAGGTATGCTGAGACTACCCCGCGTTGTGCGAAGCTTGTGTGCGTTTGCTTCTGCGTCAACTTCATCCTGCATGGGCGCTCGTCTCTCTCGTCCTCGCCGCACCCTTTCCAACAGCGCCACGGGTACGGCCACCGCTGCATCAGTCGCCTCCGCCACACACGCTGCCTCCAACACAGCTTCCTCGTCTTCGGCAAGCTCCCGCTCCCTGTCCACGTCATCCACTGCCGCAAACAACGCCAACACCACCAACGACGCCATGGCTGAGGAACTCCGCACCAAAGTCTGCATCATCGGCAGTGGCCCCGCAGGCCACACCGCCGCCATCTGTAAGCCGTTTTGCGTGTTGTGTGTGTGTTTTGCGTGTGTTGTGTGTGTGTGATGAGCATATGTGTGTATGAACAAATGTGCGTGCATGAGCATACGTGCGTTCGTCCTTGGTTCACATTAATGCGCCTTGCCTGTGCTCTAGTTTGTTACGTGCGAGGAATCACTGCGCGCCTTGCACATCTTGGGCGACACACACCTCTGACCTCGCTGCACCACTTAACTTCCATTTCCTCCATGTAGACGCTGCTCGCGCTGAGCTGAAGCCCATCATGTTCGAAGGCTTCCTTGCCAACGACGTTGCTGCTGGCGGCCAGCTTACCACCACCACCGTACGTAATGCACATGTGTGTGTCTGTGTGTCTGTGTGTCTGTGTGTCTGTGTGCATGGTTGTTGTCGTGCGCATGTTTGCTTTCATGTGCAGGTGTGTGTGTGTGCGGAGGAAACCCATGTACATGTACGCACAGCTCGCTGTATCTATCCATCCACGACTCGCTTCACACACCCTCCCCCCCCCCCCCCAAACCCACCACCACCACCATCCATCCATCGTCTCACCACCCCAAGCCAGCCCTAACCCCCACCTCCCCTGCACCCTGCAAACCCGCAGGATGTCGAGAACTTCCCCGGCTTCCCTGAGGGCGTCCTCGGCGCTGAGATTTGCGAGCGGTTCCGCAAGCAGAGCGAGCGCTTTGGCACGCAAATCTTCACGGAGACAGTGACCAAGGTCGACACCACCGCCCGCCCGTTCAAGGTGCAGAGCAAAGACCGCACAGTCGTTGCAGACACGATCATCATCGCCACGGGCGCCGTGGCCAAGCGCCTGCACTTTCCCGGCTCTGGCGAGGGCGAGGGCGGGTTCTGGCAGCGCGGCATCTCGGCGTGTGCGGTGTGCGATGGCGCAGCACCCATCTTCCGCAACAAGCCGCTGGTGGTGATTGGCGGCGGCGACTCTGCCATGGAGGAGGCCACCTTCCTCACCAAGTACGCGTCCAAGGTGTACATTGTGCACCGTCGTGACGAGCTCCGCGCGTCCAAGATCATGCAACACCGCGCCATGTCCAACCCCAAGATTGAGTTTCTGTACTCGAGCGAGGTGGTGGAGGCCAAGGGTGACGACCTGCTCCGCTCCGTGATGGTCAAGGACAAGAAGACGGGCGAGACACGCGAGGTGGAAGCAAACGGGCTCTTCTTTGCCATTGGCCACAAGCCCGCGTCGGACTTTCTCGAGGGACAGCTGGAGACAGACACGGACGGGTACATTGTGACCAAGCCTGGCACGACGCAGACGAGCGTTGAAGGCGTGTTTGCTGCTGGTGATGTGCAGGACAAGAAGTGGCGCCAGGCCGTCACGGCTGCCGGCACGGGGTGCATGGCTGCACTCGAGGCTGAGCACTACCTCGCCGCCATGAACGACCAGTGACCCTGATGTGTGCTTGCTGCTATTCTCGCTGTCTCAGTTTGCTTGCGCGTCCCTCGCTGTTGTTTGCGTAGATGCGTGGTTGTTGTTGTTGTTGTTGTTGGGATTGCGAGCTAGTGTATTGTGTTGGCATAGCCGAGATGCGGCAGAGGAAGGAGAGGAGGTGGAGTGGGGAAGGGGGAGGGATTGCGCATGGCAAGACAGGTTCACATACTTCAACAACACCTTTGATCGTTCCACCCCCATGGAATGAATACACACATCGGACATGACAGCATGCAACATGAAGACGGGGGAGGGAAGGGATGGGGGCGCCGCTTTGAGAGAATGACAGGACACGCGTGTGTGCGTATGTGCGCGGGGGGGGGCATTGGCACACACACACACACACACACACACACACACACACACGTTCTCTTCTCACACAGCCAGAGTGTTATTTTCATATCTGCCCCTACGCATTAGTCTTCTCGAACCAATCATGATAGCGCTATGGTATCGTAAGTACGTATATCCGCACCCACTGGCCAACAAAAAACTTACGAAAATGCTCCGCAGATTTCATTGCAACATAGAACGTATATAAACGACGTCCGGGTAAACTTACCATGAGAGTCTTTAACCGGGGCGGAAACGACGTACCGGGTCGGGTCGGTAATACCGGATTAAACCGGGCTAGTATACCCTTGGCGAGGTCACACACACACACACACACACACACACACACACACACACACACACACACACACACACACACACATAGCCAAGCGCTACGACATGTACTCGCGTTGTGCGGCAAAGGCGTGTGATTCGTGTAGCGGCGGCTGCGAAAAGACGGCGCTCTCCATCGCCACCTGCCCCTCGCTCGCCTGCGTGTACAGGTTGCCAACCGCCTTATCCACCGCCCGCACAAGCGCGCCCATGGACTCTGGCGACTGCACGTTGAGTGTCTGGAAGTGCACCAGCGCGTAGTCCTGCACGAGGTCGGCCAGGGCGACGGTGAGCGCGTGAAACCGCTGTTGCCGCCGGCCGCCGCCAACCATCCCAGCTTCCATCTGGTCCACAAGGTAGTGGAGGTCAAGCACCTCCGTGTAGAAGTCAAGGTTGAAGTGCAGGCGCCCATAGGCCTCGATCAGGTCCACCTTGGAGAGGACGTTCACGTGCGGCAGCTCCAGCATCATCATGGCAGACATGGACACGAGCAGCGCCGACATGAAGTTGGCCGGGTCGCTGCACATGAACGAGTCCACCAGGTGCACGCAACACACGCGCATGTGCCACGTGTCTTGCATGGTCTGCACGATGCCGCGCATCATGCGGTGGTGGGTGTACAGCTCCACCTGGCCCGGGCAGTCGAAGACGAACGTGTGGCCCTTGTGCTCGTCAATGCGCTCCTTCAGCCAGCTCAAGTTCTGCTCAAGAAACTCCATGCAGAAGACCAGCGCTGCGTTGGGCCCCAGTTGTAACCTCTCCATCACCTCATCCGCGCGCACCAGGTCCCGCACGTCAATATCAAACGTCCTTCCGTCTCCACTGCTCGCACCCTGCAGTCGCGTCGCGCTCTCGTCCTTCGTGCTGTTGTCGTTGATGCTGGTGGTCTGCTTCTTCCTCGCCCCTTGCTGTGCTTTGTCTCGTCTGCTACTACCGCTGCTGCTGCTGTGAGTGTTGTTTCCGGCCTCGCTCTTCGTTCGAACCACGCCCTCTGCCACATCCTCCTCATCGCTGTCCTCCTCATCGTCGTCGTCCACGACGTCGTCGTCGTTGTCGTCGTGGTGGTGGGCTGGTGGCCAGTAGCCTTCGCATGCGGGGTCCAGGTTCACCACGCACACCTTACGGCCCAGCCGCGCGCGCATGAACTCCCCCACAGCCAGGGCGTATGTCGTCTTGCCAGACCCCGGCGGTCCAATCACCACCTGTCCAAACGTCATCGTCCTTGGTGTGTGCTGTGTGCGTGGTTGTTGTGGTTGTTGAAAGTGTGATGTGTGTGATGTGAATGCGAGCACGCTTCTTCACCTTTGCTTTCCTCTGTTGCTGCTTTGTCGTTGTTTCTGTGTTGTGTTCTGATGATTGTCATTTCAAACACCACAACGCACACGCTCACCCCCTCCCTCCCCCCACACACACTCAATCAAACAGCAGGTGTGTTCCTCAACAGCTAATCACACACACACACACACGCACGCACACATCGAGACAGAAGCACAAGACGCAGATCAGTGACCACAGCCACGGCAGCCGCAGCGCACGCACTCAAACTTGGTGTCCTGCAGGTGAGCACGTGAGTGATATGTGTGAGTGTGCGTGTGAGTGATGTGTGTGTGTGATGTGTGTGTGTGATGTGTGTGTGTGTGTGTGTCGCAGGTGGGGAGGGGAGGGCAGCACATTTTGACCGACAGACAGACAGACAGACACAGACACATAGACACACACAGACACATAGACACACACACATATGGAAGCAAGTCTGCCACGTACCTCGGAGAGTTTGCTGCGCGGGACGCGGCAAATGCACGTGGTGCCATGGTTGGAGTCCCGAGTTTGGATACAGGCTAGACAGCACAGGCTCTCGTAGCCGGGCTGGCGTCATTGCGAAGGACACGCATGAGGTAGATACGCATATGAGGTGGAGTAGTGTCGGGGGTGGGACACATGGACCAATGGTTCCGCCAACAGAGGCAAAACCAACAGCACGAGAAGTGGGGAAAGGGGAAGATCGAACACACACACACACACACACACACACACACACACACACACACACACACACACACACACACACACACACACACACACCTTGCGCCACTTGGCAATGAGGTTTGGATCTGCGTGGCCTTCCTTGACACAAAAGTCGTACAGCTCTGATTGCGCGGAGACGTGAAGGGGCAACAGCGCAGTTCAAAGGAGGAGAACCAGAGGTGCAGAGCATCAGTATCGCTGTTGCATGCACAGTGAAGTGGAGCTCAACTGCCATACATGGGCATTACACATCAACCACACACAACACATGCACGCACCTTTGCTTATTGCCTTGCGCTTGTAGTAGAGGTTGAAGATGTAGCGGGACTTTTGATGGTGGATCCTGAACACGGGCCAGAGCGTCTCGCATTTACGCTTTCCCTCATGCGGTTCATTCTCCGCTGTATGCGTAACACATAAGGACACAAACAACCACAGCCACAAAGCACAACTTTGTGGGTCAGTACTCGTCTATGTGCGCAGTGCCACTGCCGCTCTTGACAAAAACGAAAGCAGCCAGGAATACACACAAATCCAAAAGCATGACACACAAATCACCACACACACACACATACACACACTGCACGCTGACACGGATGAAACTTCACGCATACACTCACTTAATCCCCCCCCCCACACACACAGATCACACTCCATGCTCGCACCTTCACGCAGCTTCTGATCCAGTTGCTCCAGTGTAGGCGCGATGAGCTCCCACCCCTCTGGAGGCGGTCTCTTGCTCCTCGACATCTTCGGCATGGCTGTTGGTTTGTTGTGTAACGCTCTCTCACACACTCACACACACTCACACACACCCACTCAATCACACGCGCCTTTGCGTTGGATCAACTCACACGTTGTCGTGCAGTGCACCAAACCACTCACTGCTGCTGCTGCTGCTACCACGCACTCGCTCGCTTCCCACGCCTCTTGCCAGTATTGCGGATTATTGTCGTATACTATTCATAGAATTCGATCGATGTGTCATCAAGAAGAACAAGAACAAGAGAAGTAGAAAGCAACGACAAACCTGCATCCATTCACAGCTTCCAACGAGCAAGACACACATCACGGGCAGAGAAAGACCAAGCTTGGAACGTGTGTGGCAGCGCAGCTGTGAAGAATAGCCAAGAGCACAAGAGCACAAGAGCACAAGAACAAGAAGGAAGCACCGTCACACCGTGGAATGCCATGTCGGCTCACGCCCGTGCGCGTGGTACGTACAACCCGCTTCCGATCAGGAGGACTTGCGTTGTTCGTCTGTCGTTGAATTCGCGTTGATTCGTGTGCTGTGTTTCCACACCAGCGATGGTGCGAGTTGGATCAGCTGCCATTCATGTAGTGAGCGTGTTTTTGGGTTGTGTGGCGTGCATTGTGATTTGATTGTGAGCCTCTGGGTACCGGCTCACTCGCGCTCTATCATGATTCGTTGACATGGCCTTGTTGCCACCCACAGACAATGTCCACGGTGTCAACGTGAAGCTGCACCCGCGATACCAAATCACACGCCCCGTGAGTTTTCTGTGTGTGTGTGTGTTTGTTAGTTTGTTTGTTTGTGTATGTGTGTGTGTGTGTTTGTGTGTGCATGCACGTACGCTGCGCTTGATTGAGGCGTGTGTGAGGCTTGTACGTACGATGCAGTGGTGCCTTCATCCATCCCCCTCACACACAACCCGCGCGCGCACACACACACACACACACCTGCCCCAAACAGCAATTCAATCGTCAGCTGTATGACAAGGTTGCGCGTGCGGGAGACCTGCTTCACATTGAGTACCGGTTTGACACGGAGCGGAGAGTCCTGGAGAGTCTGCGCAAGGCCGCTGAACACCGCCGCGCCGCTCAACTCCTCAGTGCGTACGCCCCGACTTGTTCTTCACACAAAACTGCACGCACGCGTGTACACGATGCGCACACACTCAAACACACACTCACACACACTCACACTCACACACACGCACGCACGCACGCACGCACGCACGCACACTCACGCACGCACACAACACACACACACACGCTCACGCACGCACACAACTCACACACACACACGCGCGCGCGCACTCACGCACGCACAGAGCCCGTCCGGGTGCAGCGGGCGAGAGAAGAGGCATCAGCACCTGCACCAATAACACAGAGCAACGACAATGATGACGGTGATGGTGGTGTTGATGAAGGTGATGGAGGATCAATGGTGACGACGGTATCTGCTGGTACGGCACAGGCGAAGACAACCAAACGCCGCAACAACAACAACAACAACAACAACAACAACAACAACAACAACAACAACAACAACAACAACAACAACAACAACAACAACAACAACAGCAACAACAACAACAACAACAACAATCACTCGTCTCCCACACCAAACCAGCAGCAACAATGTGCATCGACATCATCGTCAACCACATCACCAACACCGCCCACATCCACAGCATCCACGGCAGCAACGCACTCGTCCTCCTCATCGTCGCCATCGCCTCCGTCTGACGGCCACACCTCATCTCGCTCCAGCACACGCGACGACGACGACAACACCACCGCTGGTGATGATGGGGATGGTGCTGTTGATGGTCACAGTCATCGTGGCGTCCTGCGTGAGCGTGAGCGTGAGCGTGAGAATGCCGACACCAGCAGTGGTCATACCACCAACCACAACAGCACTGGCGATGATCATGATCATGGTGATGATCATTATAATGGTGATGATGATGGTGATGATGATGGTGATGGTGGTAATGGGAATAGCAACGATGGCGGGTTGCTCCGGGCGGCAATTGACAATGACGAGTTTGATGCAGAGTTCTTCGCACCGCAAGAGCAGCAGCAGCATGGGAGTAGGGAAGGTAGCAACGGTAGTGCGGATGCTACCACAGCAACGGCGGCAGAGGCCGTGCAAACGACGACGGGAGACGACGCGAGTGAGCACAGCGGGCAGGATGGCGGCTACGCCGTGTTGGCAGAGGTGCTGGGCAGCAGCACATGGGTCCACCAACTCGAGCAGCCGCAGGTGGCCCAGCCACGTGACCAGTGCACGACAACGACAGCAACAGCAACAACAGCAGCCACGACAACAGCAGCAACTGTCGAACAGCCGGAGGTGCTTCGCGCCATCAGTCCCTGTGTTGCTGTGCTGCCAGTGTCATCGTCGTCGTCATCGTCGTCAGCATCCACTTCACCGCCCTCGCCCCCGCCGCCAACACAAGGAGGCAGCTGCGGGGCCACAACAACCACGACCGCCCAGATCACAGGAGCTGCGCAGGGCGAAGCAGACACCACGGACCAAACATCAGCATTAGTTACAACGACACTCCCAGCGATGGCACCAGCAGAACAGTCAGCAACAACAGAGAACGCTGTCTCATCATCAGAGAACACAGCATCCCAGCAGCCGCAATCAGCGGCTGACAAGACAGCGCTGGGCGTGGTGTCAACAGCAATGAAGACGCCAGCACCACCAGTGACCACATCATCATCATCATCATCATCATCACCGCCATCGTCACTGCCGGGTGTTGGCGATGCAGCAACGCCAGACCTGTTGCTGTCAGAGGCAGAGGAAGAGGAAGAGGAAGAGAAGGCGGCGGCAGTTAAGGGGGCGAAGCGGCAGGGGCAGGGTGCCAGCGAGAGAAAGCGTGGTGGCCAGCAAGTGAACGTGGCGAGCGTACGCGCATCACAGCAGTTGCAGTCGCTGTCGTTGGCGGAATTCGAGAACTTGACGTCGACGCCGTTTGAGGAGGCGACGCTTCAGGCGCTCAACACACACGACGTGCTGCTCTCTCTCTTGCAGCCCACACACACCCGCACACAAGCGCACTCACACGCACAAGCGCACTCGCACGCTGCAGCCAAGGAGGAGGTTGGGGGCGGCGTGGCAGAGTATGGGGCGGTCTCTGGCGCGGGGTTAACGGCGCTCGTGTCCCTGGACGACGATGGCGACAGCAGTGATGACAAAGATGTCCGTGGTGGTGGTGGTAACGATCGTGATGGTGCTGGCAATGGTGAGAGCGAGGAGGCAAAGGCAACACCTGTGATGGATGGGCGGAATGCGATGGCTGGGGACAGGTCGGACGCATCGCTGCATCCTCCACAGCCACCGCATGCATCACAGCACAGCATCGATGATGCTGGCAGTGGCATGCTGGTGGACTTGGACGCAGATGGACAAGCGAGCCACCGGCAGTCTGCACGTTGTCCTCCACCGCCACCACCATCATCATCATCATCATCACCCCACCATGTTAAGCACCACCATGATCACCACCTCTCGCAGCATCAACACCATGATAGCCACGATGGCCACCACAACGATCATCACCATCACCATCATGACGGCCTGGGTCGGGCGTCATCACGGGACCGGTTCGACTCAATGTCGGCTGCGCTCGAGCGGCTGGAGCAGCAGCACCACCACAGCCACCGTCACGGTGGTCATGGTGGCCACCACCATGTAGCAGCACACCATGCACGGCAGCAGCAGCAGCATCAGCAGCAACCGTGTCATTACTCGGCGTCGTCCCGTGTTCCTGGACAGGCAGCGGCCCGTGCAGTCTCTTCGCATGCACGCGCGCAGGCAAGCACGCACACACAAACACGCACACACACCGCGCGCACACGAGCGTCGCCTCATTCATCGCCATCACCGCCGTCGTCGTCTTCAGCGGCAACGGAGAGGTCGTCCGCAGAAACGGACTGGAGCGCCATGGGATTCGATGCAACATTAGCAGGGGCGGCCGTGGAGCACTACAAGCAAGACATGAACAAGGTGTGGCACTTGCGTTATGAGCTTGGACGTGTTTGTACACATTCCCATTCACACACACATTCACATTCACTCACTCACTCACTCACTCACTCACTCACTCACTCACTCACTCACTCACTCACTCACTCACTCACTCACTCACTCACTCACTCACTCACTCACTCACTCACTCACTCACTCACTC